GGCGAAGAGGGCGAGGGCGGTGAGGGTGCCGAAGAGGGGGAGGGCACCAGCATCCATGTAAGTTTTGAATGGCAACCCGAACTACTAACACTAACACTACCCCCCCGTCCGGGACATGTCTAACCCAAGTGGCGAATGAAAGAATTAATGGTAAGAGGGTAAGGTTTAGGGAATGGGGATTACTAACACTAGAACTTGTGCATTGCCTGGGGAATCTGAAATTCTATTTGCGACTAATCTGTCTGTCGATTCGATGTACAGGAACAAGAGATGGAGAAGCAGAAGCTGCTCTTCCATCAGGCGCGTCTGTCGAATCGTGGCGTTGCCGAAATGGTGCTGTTGCACATTTCCGCCTCCAAAGGTATACCTTCGGAGATGGTAATGACGACACTCAATCTCGGCATCGCCATATTGCGCGGCGGCAACATCGACATCCAAATGGGCATGCTCAATCATCTCAAGGAGAAGAAGGATGTGGGCTTTTTCACATCGATTGCTGGCCTCATGAACTCGTGCAGTGTCCTCGATCTGGATGCCTTTGAGCGTAACACCAAAGCAGAGGGTAAGTTCCAGGCATCTGATGTGATCTGCCTCCTCTTCCTCCACCTCCTTCTATTTCGCCTTGCTCGCTCTTTCTGTTCTTTCTGTAACTGTCTTTTGGTTTGGTCTACTCGCTCGGCTCCAGTCACCACCATATTCGTCTTAGTTTTTCAATTATTGATTTGTGTCTACTTCCTTCCTTCCATCCAACCAATCAACCAACCAACTACTCCCCACACCCAACATGTCTCGCATGCCAACCAAAACCAAACCAAAACCATCCCGATATATCCCCGAAATGTGTGTAAACAAAAACCCCAAAAAACAAACAACAACAAAGAGTATATTCCGAGTGCGGGTGCAGGTCTTGGTGTAGGTTCCGAGGGGGCGGCAGGCGAGAAGAACATGCACGATGCGGAGTTTACGTGCGCACTTTTCCGGTTCATCCAGCTCACCTGCGAGGGTCACAATTTGGGTGAGTCCAGAGGGTCTCCTTCCATACCCTACCCCACTTAACGGGCTACTACCCATTTGTTCGCTTTCAGAGTGGCAGAACTATCTGAGGACACAGGCTGGCAACACGACAACCGTCAATGTGGTCATCTGCACTGTGGATTATCTGCTGCGGCTGCAGGAGTCCATCATGGACTTCTATTGGCACTACTCCAGCAAGGAGATCATCGATCCGGCCGGCAAGGCAAACTTCTTCAAGGCCATTGGGGTGGCCAGCCAGGTCTTCAACACCCTCACCGAGGTCATCCAGGGTCCCTGCACACTCAATCAGCAGGCTTTGGCCCACTCTCGCCTGTGGGATGCTGTCGGTGGCTTCCTCTTTTTGTTTTCACACATGCAGGACAAGCTATCGAAGCACTCCAGTCAGGTGGATCTGCTGAAGGAGCTGCTCAATCTGCAAAAGGATATGATCACCATGATGCTGTCTATGCTGGAAGGAAACGTTGTCAATGGTACGCCAAAAGGGAGGACTCAATGGATAAACCGATTTTATGTACATTTGTTTTATTTTTTAAGGTACCATTGGCAAGCAGATGGTGGACACTCTGGTGGAGTCTGCGTCGAATGTGGAGCTGATCCTCAAGTACTTTGATATGTTCCTCAAACTGGCCGACCTCATTGAATCGCCCAGCTTCCATGAGATTGACATGAAGAACGAAGGCTGGGTGACGCCCAAGGACTTTAGGGAGAAAATGGAGCAATCCAAGAACTACTCACTGTAAGCGTGAGGGTGTGGGTGCGGGTGCGGGAGGTAATCGCTCCCTGAATTTAATTCTAATAACTTTTCTCCCCAATTGCAAATTACAGGGAAGAAATGGATTTCCTTTTGGCTTGTTGCGAACGCAATCACGAGGGAAAGATCGACTACAGAGCCTTCGTGGAACGCTTCCACGAACCATCAAAGGAGATCGGTTTCAACCTGGCCGTTCTACTGACCAACCTGAGCGAGCATATGCCGAACGAGCCGCGACTGGCGCGCTTCCTGGAGACGGCCGGCTCGGTGCTGAACTACTTCGAGCCGTTCCTGGGTCGCATCGAGATCTTGGGCAGCTCGAAGCGCATCGAGCGGGTCTACTTCGAGATCAAGGACTCGAACATCGAGCAGTGGGAGAAGCCGCAGATCCGCGAATCGAAGCGTGCCTTCTTCTACTCCATCGTCACTGAGGGCGGCGACAAGGAGAAGCTCGAGGCCTTTGTCAATTTCTGCGAGGATGCCATCTTTGAGATGACCCACGCCTCTGGCCTGATGGCCACCGACGATGGCGGCGGCAACGTGAAACGCGACACCGCCTACAGTTCGTACATGAGCGAGGAGGAGGAGGAGCGCGCCGCTCGGGATCCAATCAGACGCACCATCACCGCCGTCAAGGAGGGCCTCAAGTTCGGCGTCCACATGCTGAGTCCGGCGAACATCAAGCACCAGATTGGCGTCATGCAGACAAAGTCCATCCCAGAGCTGATTGTCGGCTTCTTCAAGATCATCTTCTACATGTTCTACTACACGGGCTATGCCCACTACTGCGTGGTGCGCTACATCTTCGGCATACTGCTGAACCTGATGCGCGGGCCCGCGCCCGAGCAGGAGGAGCAGCTGCCGGTGGTCGAGGAGGAGACGTTTGGCAGAGCACTGCCGCCACTGCCGTTGGAAGAGCCGCCGGGTACCGTTCAGGCATTTGGCTTGGACATAAACAAGGAGGATAACGGCGTGTACAAGGTGGTGGTTCATGAATCCTCAGCCAACTCCTCGATGGAGGAGGGTGGCGAATCCAGCACCGAGGATGGCGCAGCTGTGGCCGGGGAACTGGCTGAGGGCCAGGAACCCTACCAGGAACCCATCTCCATTGTGGATCTGCTGGGCGGCGATGCGGCCAAGAAGGCTGCGCAGGAGCGACAGGAGGCGCAAAAGGCCCAAGAGGCGGCCATGGCCTCCATTGAGGCCGAGACCAAGAAGTCGGCGGCAGCCCCACAGGAAACGCCGGCAGTGCATCAGATCGATTTCTCGCAGTACACGCACAGGGCCGTCAGCTTCCTCGCGCGCAACTTCTACAATCTGAAATACGTCGCCTTGGTGCTGGCCTTCAGCATCAACTTCATGCTGCTCTTCTACAAGGTCACCTCATTCGAGAGCGAATCCGAGGGCTCAGCCGAGGAGGAGCTCATTCTGGGCTCCGGTTCGGGGGCAGGTGTCGACATGAACGGATCTGGATTTGGTGGCTCCGGTGACGGTGGCTCCGGGGACGGGGAAATGGAGGATGAGATACCGGAGCTTGTGCACGTCGACGAGGACTTCTTCTATATGGCTCACGTGCTGCGCATTGCGGCCTGTCTGCACTCGCTCGTGTCCCTGGCCATGCTGATCGCCTACTACCACCTGAAGGTGCCGCTGGCCATTTTCAAGCGCGAGAAGGAGATTGCCCGACGTCTGGAATTCGATGGCCTCTTCATTGCCGAGCAGCCGGAGGACGATGACTTCAAGTCGCACTGGGACAAGCTGGTCATATCGGCCAAGAGTTTCCCGGTCAACTATTGGGACAAGTTCGTCAAGAAGAAGGTGCGCCAAAAGTACAGCGAGACGTACGAATTTGATTCCATCTCGAACCTGCTGGGCATGGAGAAGAGCGCCTTCACCGCGCAGGAGAGCGAGGAGACGGGCATCTTTAAGTACATCATGAACATTGACTGGCGCTACCAGGTGTGGAAGGCGGGCGTCACCTTCACGGACAACGCCTTCCTCTACTCGCTGTGGTACTTCAGCTTCTCGGTGATGGGCAACTTTAACAACTTCTTCTTTGCTGCTCATCTGCTGGATGTTGCCGTCGGCTTTAAGACACTGCGCACCATCCTCCAGTCGGTCACGCACAACGGCAAGCAACTGGTCCTGACCGTCATGCTGCTGACCATCATCGTCTACATCTACACGGTGATAGCGTTCAACTTCTTCCGTAAGTTCTACATCCAGGAGGAGGACGATGAGGTGGACAAGAAGTGCCACGACATGCTCACCTGCTTCGTCTTCCATTTGTACAAAGGAGTGCGAGCGGGCGGAGGCATTGGTGACGAGATTGGTGATCCAGATGGCGACGACTATGAGGTGTATCGCATCATCTTTGACATCACCTTCTTCTTTTTCGTCATCATTATCCTGCTGGCCATCATCCAGGGTCTGATCATTGACGCCTTCGGTGAGCTGCGTGACCAGCTGGAATCGGTCAAGGATAACATGGAATCGAACTGCTTTATATGCGGCATGGGGAAGGATTTCTTTGACATAGTGCCGCATGGCTTCGACACCCACGTCCAGAAGGAGCACAATCTGGCCAACTACATGTTCTTCCTGATGCATTTGATCAACAAACCGGACACCGAGTACACCGGCCAGGAGACGTATGTGTGGAATATGTACCAGCAGCGCAGCTGGGACTTCTTCCCGGTGGGTGACTGTTTCCGCAAACAATACGAGGATGAATTATCTGGCGGCGGCGGTGGCGGTTAGGCCGCTGTCGCCAGCATTCCTATTTACTGTACCATCTGATCGCTTTCTGGGCCCAAGTCGGTCCAAGTTGGACTCGGCATCTAATTTTTATCTACAACTACTTTGTACTACTACTGATTCGCTTGGTACTTTGATATCATCTGGAATTAGTTACCTAGTCAACTTTATAGATGTAATTTAAGACATATGCAATTTACCCACACAATCGTTTAAACATTAAACAGACGAGCATATACATACAGTCAGTAGGTATGTAACTATGTGTCCATAAGTACATACATGTGGGAGACGATCTTTTTTCCAAATGATAATGACGATGATGACGATTCTAGCACGTATAACACAAAATGTTCTTAACTCATTTTAAAATAAATCTATTCATTTTTAACGAACCCCCCCGTTTTTTGGCTCAAATATTCTTATTCTGATATTTTTCAGAATACATACATACCAGATTTGGCAACGATTAGTCAAGTTATTTATTTATTTTAGCTTCCTTAGATTTCCTTAGTAACAAATTAACACATTTTCAACACTTAAAAATAACACATAAAATAAATGAATTTAAGAAACATTTCACACAATACAACAAATACGTATGTACAATGTACATACATATACTTAACATACGAATTGTAAGTATTTCATAAAAAAAATCACAGCTACGTACATACACACATACAATACTTGTGGACAGATTTTTCCCTATAGAAATTAACCAATTCACAAATGAAATTAATTAATCATTTTCCTATTATGTGTTGTACAGTAAATGTACATACATATGTGAGCATACTTATACTTATATACTATACATATCTATAAAAATTGTATATATATTTTGCTAAATATTTCATATCTAAAGACCTCTCCACAAAAGACAGCTGCGAAGGTCGTGTGCTAAAAATAGGTTTCCCGTGCCGTATCGAACTGGGGGGTACTGGGAATCCGGACCTGTGACTAGCGAAAATTGTACAATTGAAAATAATACAGTACTAAAACAATTAAAACGGCGGCAAAATATCAGTAATCGAGACGTTTCTTTAAGCGAAAGAACTCGGCATTGTCGATGCTCGTCATATTGTCCATATTGAGGTTACGCAGCGTGTGCATGCCGGACAAACGCTCCTCGATGTCCGCGTACATGCTGCGGCATCGGTAGACGGAAAGGGTCTGCAGACCAGTGCAGTTCACGATGATGGCGTCGAGAGTGTGCTCGGTCAGCTGGCTGCAGCCACTGATATGCAAGGCGCGCAGGCGGGGCAGATTGGCTGTGACCACCTGCATGGTTCTGTCTGTGATGTTGTAGCAATCGGACAGATCCAGCTCCTCAATGGAGGGGCAGCTGTTGACCAGAGCCTCCATGCCCAGCAAGGAGATTTGCTGACAATTCGAGAGCATTAATCGCCGTAGCTCGATATGCTTCAGGCCGTACTTCAGGGAGACATCGCTGATCTTGTTGCATCCACGCAAGTTGAGGGAGCGCAGACCCCGCAGCTGCTGAATGTTGTGCCCCTCGAAGTCCTCCTTATGTATCAGGTTCATTTCGTAGGCGGCCAGCATGACCTGCTTGCGTCTGGCATCGCGCACGATCTCGTCCTCTGCTTTGCTCCTCAGCGATATCTTGATGGACTGCAGAGAGCCGTCTCGCTCCCCCAAGCTATGGCTATACGGTGGGTAGAAGTTCTCCATTGTAGACGCTTGAGGGCCCGATTGCTTGCGACTCAGCTCCAGCTTAGATATGTTTAAGCCAGTGAGAGCAGCATCTGTCAGCTGCATAGGTTAAAATGATTAAAATTAAGATTGGCCCTGGGAATATATCTTCTCATTAGACTTACGGCAGAGCACTGTTCCAGGGACAGGTCGCGCAGCCAACGCAGCTGACCAATCACGAACTGTATGGCCTCATCTGTGACCCCATTCACACAGTTGTTCAGATGCAGCGATCGCAGGGAGCGCAAATTGCTTGCAATGGACTTGATGCATTCTTCGCAGATTTGCAGGTGCGACACATTTAGCTCTAGCAGTACGTTGTTTTCTTCGGCTGCCACGCCCGCGGTGATGCCATCGCTGGTTACGCCATCACAGTTGGAGATGTCCAGGCTTTTCAGGCGCCGCAGCTTGTGCAGGTGGATCGCTCCCACATTAGTGACGCATGTGCATCCGTTGATCTTCAAGTGCTCGAGCTGCGAATTTGTCTCCGCAATGCAGGCCAAGTTATCATCGGTCACGCACGTGGTCCCCGACAAGTCCAAGGCAGTCAAAAGCGGTTGAGTGGCGAGGAAGGTTCGCACCGTCGTGGCATTTAGCTGTCTGCAACCGCCCAGATAGAGGCGTTGCAACTGTAGATCGAGATCGCACAGCGACAGCAGAGATTGTCCGATGAGGGTGTTACTGAAGTCCAACTCCCGCAGCGTTCTGCGCTGCAGGTTCAGAATGGTCAGAATAAAGTTGAATGTAAGCAACGATTCGCTGGGCAGCAGACTGTCGGCGGAGTTTGAGTTGGGGTAGAAGCGTCGCTGCAGCGCGTTGTGGAAGGCTATTTGACAGCCAGACATATTGATCACCTCGAGGCGAGGCATGAACGACGTGAGTCGCATTAGGATGGCGTCGGTGAGATATTGATTATCGCATAGCGCCAGTTCCCGCATGCCCGCCAAGTTGTTGGCCAATTCGTTGAGATTTGCGAAGGAATTGGTGTAGCTTTCGAGAAAGGAGCCAGACATGAACAGCGGCAAGCAGCGCTTCAGGGAAAGCGAATGGAGGTGCGGTAGCACTCCCAACATGCCATAGAACTGCTTGTCATTCAGATCAACATTGTCCAGCGTCAGAGACTGGGCCGTTTGACCTATAAACCTCAGCAGCTCCCTCACCTGCCCAAGGGTCACATCTTCGAGCATAAAGTGGTTGAAGCGCCTTTCGCATCGCAGCAAATCCACTGCCGGACTCTGTGTATCCGAGAGCACCACTTTCGAGAAACAGACACGGGTGCGCGCTTTGAACTCGGTCTGTTCCAATGCCGAGTGCCATCTGTGGCAAGTCGATGCAGCCGCCAGAAGATCCGAGTACTCCAGAAAGCCAAATATTTTCAAAACAATCTGCGAAAGAAACCGAAATGTCATCAGGTGACTGTTTTGTTGCCCATAACAGGCAGATAGATACGAATCGAATTGGAACGACAGTCACGGGACTGCCAGTTGCGGTTGACTTACCTCTAACGGTAGCTCGTCATATCTGGCGGAAGAATATTCCAAAGACGACATTCTATTTATGCAGATGCTAGCAAGAACCTATGAATGAACTGGGATCAGCTTGCAGCAACGATTGACCACCCACACAACTGTAACCCCCCCTTAAAGTTAAGTGTTGTCTAATTTTAATTAGCGGATTTAAGGGCACTACTATCGACTGCACTATCGATGTTATTCCCTCTCTAGGTCACACACCTTGCAACTTTCTTTGACAAAAGTATTTTTTAAAGCTCTACGCGATATTTTTTAAGTATTTTTTAAAATCATCGATTGCACTATTGATTAAATTGGGTCACACTGTTTATGACATCAGATTTCTGTTTGCAAAAACTTGTTTTCCGCTGAAAAACATTCAATTTCCTTGCGCCCAGGACCTCAGGACATCAATAGTCAACGTGCCCACAGCTATGGCAGATCCAAAGTTTCAAAACCTTCCAGGAATCGTGAGTTGAGCCATGAGGTGTCTTCCAAATCGTAATTTGCATTCCCTTGTACAGGCCTACGACCAACCTGATGTCTACGAAACGCCCGACGATCCCGAGACGGACACCTCTGACTATTACGAGGAAGAGCCCGAGAATGAGGCCATAGAGCGAATGCATATTTCGGCTAGTGCTGCCCACAAACGCTTTAGCGGAGCAACACTCGAGGGAAGCGTTGACTTTACGGACCGCATCGGCCGCCGCTCTGGCCGTGGCTACGATATGCGAGGCGCTGGCGAATATGAGCTTGTGGGGCAGGGTGAAAAGGAGACTCCCGTGCAAAAGTGTCAGCGGCTGCAAATCGAAATGAACGAACTTTTGAATGAGGTAGCCGCTCTGCAAGTGGATCGCAAAATCGCTGACGAGGAGAAGCAATCGTACGATGCTGTTGCCACTGTAATAGCCACTGCAAAGAAAGTACTGGACACTTTGAAGCTGGAACAGGTTCTTGGCAAAGAGCAGGTGCCAAATAGCAAGCAAGTGAAAGCACTCATTAGCCAAGTGGAGGAATTCAAGCAGTCTGGCGTACTGACGGCCATACCAACGCCAGGCACAGATTTGGCATCTACAGCTCGCGTGGCTAATCTCGAGCAACGGCTATACCAATTGGAGAAGGCCGTGGGAGCGCAGCCAGAAAAGCTAAGCCGTCTGACTGCTGCCACCAACACTACCAATGTGCTGGAAGCCGTTCGCCAACTCAGTACCAAGGCTGCACTATTGCAGCCGGACAAGCTGGACACCATTGAGCAGCGCCTAACGACTCTGGCCGGAAAAATGGACTCTATTGCCGAGAAATCCAGCGGAAGCGCCCAGGACGCCAAGCGCGACCAGAAAATTTCGGAACTCTATGATATTGCTAAGCGTACGGAGCCTGTTGTGGAAATACTGCCGCATGTCATTGAGCGTATGCAAGCACTAGAGTCCCTACATAAATATGGTAAGCCAGACATCAGTTGCATAATTAACACTTCATTAATTGCCATCACTGCATTTCAGCGAACAACTTTGCTAAGATTATAGCCGAAATTGAGCAAAAGCAGGGTACCATAACGACCAGTCTGGTAAATAACAAGGAACTGCTCCACTCCGTACAGGAGACCTTTGCTCAAAATCTGGAGACTATCACTACCAAAGTGACTAAAGTGGAGCAGCGCGTTACGGCAATATCGACAGCTAAATAAGTGCATGCACAGCACACGAAATATGTATTTCCATTATAATATCCTCTATATTTATTAAATAAAAATAAACATTCGAGTCTTTTTTAAAAAGTAATCAAACTGCTTAAAGATATTTTTGTTATATAATGGTATATCTAATTTCTTTGGTATTTTTGATCCATAAATCCGCGGTCACACTGCATCAAAGTAACGGTGCTATTGATTCCTATTTTTATTTATTCTGTGTGTCTGTGTTTTGTTTTAACCTTTTACATCTTGTATCGTCATAATTCAGTGTAATATGTCTATCATGGATGAATCGTTTCCCGCCGAGCTGTTCGACCAGGTTACCAACAACGGCGCCAGCACCCCACGCCAGATACAGGAGCTCAAGAGGCCAACGATCTTTGAGCATAAAGGCAAGCAAAGCGACCACGTGCCTAATTCTTCAGCATTCCAAATAATCTTTATTGTTAATTTCGATTTTGTGACTCCACAGACGCCCATAGTCCAAAGTCCAAAGCAGCGGATCGTAGGAAGCGCTTCTCTCACTCAGCGTATACCAAGCAGCGCTACAAGCACGTAACTAGCAAAGTGGCGAAATACATTGCGGAAATGGAAGCCCAGGACCAGACGAGTCGTATGGCGAAAGAAAACCTGCGGCGTAACAATTCTATGCCGGAGTACCAAACAGAGCGCTGTGACGTCAGAGAGCGCAGGCACTTCAGCGTGGACGAGCTCAATGTGGTGGACCAGTCAGTGACTAACGAGAGCTACGAGCGCCTTCTCTGCGAGATTGAGCGCCAACATAAAGAGATTGATCGCCTTCAGGAAGAGAACTTGCGCGTGCAGTCCTACAGCGACTATCTGCAAGGCCAGCTAGACGAAAAGGCTATGCAGACGCTTATAATGAAGCGAAATTTTGAGAGCATTCGCATCGATTTGGACATCTGCATGCAGAAGTTGAAGCGGTATGAAAACGTCTAGCTGCGCACCCCCAACATCATTTTTTCTGTTTCCATAATATAATGTTTTTATTTATCTATTTTGTATTGCGTGTAAATGTAAGTGTATAGGGTGATTTAAAGCAATGTTTTATATAATCTAAGTTTATTATGTTCTGCGGTGTGATCAACTATTTAAATATAGCGGGGTTAAGTTTGTATTTTATTTTATCATGGAATATACTGGTATCTTTGCACAACTTCCTGGTGTATTCTGGTATTGTTCGACTTGGTCACTTTATTCGTTCGTGAGCGTGGTGGTTTCTTGGTGGTTTTTCAAAATTTTCTCTCTTTTCCGAGGTGAAGAGAGCGCTTTTTTGTTTGAACCCTTTTATGCAACAATGCAATAAAAAGGACTTCTGAAAACTAGCCAATCTTGTAGAAAATTGATATATCTATCGGATAAAATTATTTGTTTAGGGCTGAGAGGGCCAACTAGCTAGTAATATTAAACTAAATATCAAAATCATGATATACGATTTCAATCAATAAAATAGAACGTTATCACATTGTCGACCAGGGGGGTATTTAATATTTCGACGAAATTTATGTCACTTTAATATGTAAAATATGCATTACAGGTAAAAGACATCGGTGGTCATTTTTGTTTTGTAAGTAAAGAGGAGGATGGAGCTACAAGGAGCCCTTACAAACAGTATTATATTCCGCGGTTTAACAAAGGGTGCTCAACTATTTAAGTAGAGGGGTGTTAAGTGGGTTAAGTATCGTTTAATCGCCGGACTGTCCTGGTTTTTTATGGTATGGTATTTAAATGGTATTTCTCCAAACTGAAATGGTATTTATTTTTTGGCCGGAGCGTGTATTTTATCGCGGTCCGTGGTCACACTGCCTGCCCTACTGTTCTTAAAATCCACAGATTCCAATTAAAAACAGAATAACAATTTAAAGTGGCTAATAGTGTTGGCGAATGTTAATTGTAATTACAATTCCAAGTGAGTTTTGCCATATAAAACATTTGACGCTGTCGAGAGTCCAGAGTTGCGGCCACATAGGCAGCAAGAAAAAGTGATGACGGGGCGCACTCCAATTGGACGGGACGTGACACAATTTCGTTTGGAAGAGGCAGCAGCAGCCCAAGAAAAGTAAAAACTCTTCGAAAATATTTATTGTTACTTCTATTACAGCACCAACACATTTGCAAAATGAAAATCAAGGAACTGCAGAAGACGGTGAACATTGCTTGGTCTCCGGCACAGCAGCAGCAAATATTCTTGGCTGCCGGCACGGCTGCCCAGCAGTTTGATTCGAATGCAAACTCCACCTTGGAAATATACTCGCCAAACTTCAGTGATGCAACCTACGATCTGGAGCTTAAGGCCAGCGTGGCCAGCCAGTACAAGTGAGTTTTGGATATTGTATTCGTATTCATTCATTCATGCGATTCAATTTAACCCGGCTTCGTTTGCAGGTTCCAGAAACTTATATGGAGTCCCATAGGACCGCATCCAAGCGGCCTCATTGTGGGCGGCTGTGAAGCGGGAGAGATCAATATTTATTCGGCTGCCAAGCTGCTCGCCAATGGCAACGAGGAGCCCCTGCTGGCTCGTCAAGATAAGCACACTGGGGCTGTTAGCGGATTGGACTTCAATCCATTCCAAAACAATCTGCTCGCCTCGTGTGCTTCCGAATCGGAGATTTTTATTTGGGACCTCAACAACCCAGCCACGCACATGAACCCGGGCGCCAAGACCCAGCCACTGGAGGACGTCAAAAATGTTGCCTGGAATCGACAAGTGCAGCACATTTTGGCCTCTGTTTTCAGCACACGCTGCGTTATCTGGGATCTGCGCAAGAGCCAGCAGATCATTAAGCTCTCTGATTCGCAATCTCGTGTGCGATGGCATGCCATCGAGTGGCATCCAGAGGCAGCGACTCAGGTGTGGCTCGCCTCGGAAGATGACCAGGCGCCGGTTGTGCAGCTGTGGGACTTGAGGTATGCCACCGCCCCGGCGAAAACATATCAAATCCACGAACGCGGAGTGCTGGGCATGTCGTGGTGCCTGCAGGACAACGACCTAATGGTGTCCTGCGGCAAGGACAATCGCATATACTGCTGGAATCCGAACACTAAAATACCCGAAGGTGAAATTCTCTCGGAAGTGGCCACCACGTCATCCTGGTACTCCGATGTGCAGTTCTGTCCACGCAATCCGGCGCTAATTGCCAGTGCCAGCTTGGAAGGGGCCGTGTCTATATATTCCCTCCATGGAGGCACCCACCATCTAGTGCAGACGGCCAACAAGATTGCAGACTCCTTCCCGGGAATGGATCAGTTTGCCCAAGAGCCCATTCCTCAGCAGGCCACGCAAGTGGTTTACCATGACCTGACGCACGCCCCCAAGTGGATGAAGCGCCCCTGTGGCGTTGCCTTTGGGGTAAGTTTCTCTTCAACATGTGTGAACCTTTCTATATGTTTGAGTTATTTCGCTGTCCACAGTTTGGTGGGAAGCTGGTCAGCTTCGATGGTACCTCCAAGACGGTGAAGGTATCGCAGTTAACTACCGAAGCCGCTCTCGTGGAACGTGCCAATGCCTTGGAACGCTCGTTGGCCGATGCCAATTACGCAGATTATTGTCGACAGCGGGCAGATGACACACCGGACCAGCACGGTCGATACCTTTGGTACTTCATCAAGGCCAACTTTGAGCTGAACCCGAAGGAGGAAATGCTCAATCTCTTGGGTATGTGCGGTCACGATGAGACATGTTAGTTCATGTTAATTGGCAGTTTCTTTCTCGTTAGGCTATAACAAAGATGACGTTGATGCCAAGTTCAGCAAGTTTATCAAGGAAACTGAGACGAACTCGCAATCGGATGTGGATACACTCACGACCCGCATTTCCACACTCACCCATGTAAGTTTCCGCCACTATGTGGCGCGACAACACCTTATCAGTTCCACGACATTCCCAACAACAGCAACATTGTGCTACGCACGCACTATCAACATCTCCACGTACATATGCTCATCTTGCTCTGTATACTTATTTCTATTCGATAACATACTCCATGCATTGCCAAACATCGCGGGGCTATGCCATGCTGTGCTGTAGAGCGACTCTTCTGAAGTTGAGTGCGATCAGAGTACAAATTATAGCACCGATAATTCGGTAAGACTAAAGATTTAAGATTACGAAAGAATTGTAAATTGATTAGAAAGAATCGGGAGCAGAAACAGAAAGAGCAAATGCAGCTAAATGGTGCACAAACTTCGATGAAATCATAGCCTCATCTCAATTTTTGTTCTTCTTTGTTTATATATGTATGTATAGGCAACATTGGACCATAAATTTGATGGAAATGGAACCGATTCTCAAAATAACGACTATGCTACGCTTTCGAGGCCCCAGTTCAAAGTGCCCAGCGGGGAACGTAAGTGGACTCACTCAACTTATTTAGCCATTGGCTAGCTGCTTGATTGCTAACTGATTTTATATTCGCAGACTCTGACAGCTTAATTGCCGAGGCAATACTAACCGGCAACATCGAGGCTGCAGTGGAGCTGTGTCTTGAAGCCCAGCGCATTCCGGAGGCCCTCATCATAGCCTCGACGGCCGGCATTGATACCCTCACTCGAACCCAAACCCGGTACCTAGTGCAGCAGAAGAGCGAGCTGTCGCACGTGATCTCGGCCTTGGTTACCCGGGATTGGCTTGACTTTGTCAACCGCTGCACGGTTGAGTCGTGGAAGGAAGCCCTGGTGGCTGCCCTCAAGCACAGCGAGCGCAAAGTGGTTGACATCTGTGAACGCCTGGGAGATCGCTTGTTGAACGAATGCGCAAACAGCTTGGAGTTTACGCGCAACGCCATGCTGTGCTACATCTGTGCGGGGAGCATTGACAAGTTGGTGAGCGCCTGGTATCACTTGAAGCAGCTGGAGCAGCAGAGTCAGAGCTACAAGCTGAATACCAACGAGCTGCAGGACCTGGCCGAGGTTGTGATGCTTATGTGCAAGTCGCTCGAACAGCAGGGCATCTCCGTGGACTTGGCTGGTCGCTTTGCTGGCTTCCTCACTGAATATGGCGGCCTTTTGGCTTCCCAAGGAGCCCTCACGGCAGCTCTCCAATACATAACAACGTTGGGTGGTGGAGCAACGTGTGAAAATGAAATTTTGCATGGTCTACGGGATCGAATCAACAACGCCGTCAATTTGGAGCATACCCAGCCGCAAGCAGCTGCAGCTCCTGCTCCATTTGGCTACCCTGGCCCACAGCAACGGGGTAGAGGCTCCTTCTCACAGCAGCCTCCTGTGGCTCCAATGTCCTATGGCCAACCAGCCAATCAGTATGGAAACCCCGCCAACACTGGCTGGCCTACGCCCGCGCCACCCGCACCAGCAACGTATCCAGCGGCCCAGCCGGCCCCACAGATATTTAATCCACAACCAGTTAAGCAAGAACTTCCGGCCCACCCACCGCGGCCTCTCAGCAATGCCAGCTCCTCGGGAGGGCCTCCACCATCGTCAAGTGGCCCGTCTGGTGGATTAGGTCTACATGCGCGCTCAAAATATGTTTTGGATCCATCTGTAGCAGCTCCCACAAGTGCCTATGGCATGCCATACAATCCAGTTCCTGCCCCAGCCCCATCCGCAGCTCCTTTCACGGGAGCAGCAGGACCTGGAGCTCTTCCACAACCGGCCAGCGTGCCCACATACAATAGCAACGCATTCAACACCAATCCTCTGTCGTCAGGCCAAGGGTACAATGCCACGCCATTCTCCGGAGCCCAGCAAAACTCCTACTTACCGGGTGTAAATCCCATTGAGACAATGCCTCAAGCTGCTCAGACACCTATTATACAGAATGTACAGCGCAATCCCACACCGCCACCAGGCTGGAACGATCCACCCGCATTGAAATCATCTCGTGCGGTAAGAGCCATAGTCAGCCACTCCAACAGACATGTCTGAGTATTATTGTAATCATTGTTCAATTTCTGCAGCCAAAGCCGAAGCCAGTCGCAGAGCCTAGTGCTGCGCCCATATTTCATCCGATTTTCCCTGTCGATCCCAATCAAAACCAGAACGGTTATATGGATCCTGCTCAATATCAGGTAAGATGCAGCAAAGTAGCACCAAGAAGATGTATTTTAATTGTGACTCACCCTTGTAGAATGCGCCACCCGCTGGCGGGGCAAGCAACGCGTACTATAATCCAGCTGCATTCAACAACAATCCACAGCAGCAACAGCAGTCATACCTCCAGCCGCAACAACAGGTGATTCCCAACCAGGGGCCACCTCAGCAGCAGAACTGGCAGGGCCAACAGCAGCAGCAGACCATTGGATACACCGAACAGCCAGCACCCATTCAGCAACAGCGCCAGCCAGAGGTGCCAAAGGAGAAGCCACCACTACCAGAGGAATACATCTACTTGCAGACGGTACTGGAGGAGCTGAAGAACCGTTGCTTGAGCGCAACCAATGATCCGGTAAATGGACACGGAATATAGCATATATTTTATGGCAAACTCTATTGATATTCTTCTCAATAACAGCGCACCAAACGCAAGTTTGTGGATGTCGTCAAACGGTTGGAAAATCTCTATGATTGCTTACGCGATGGAAAGGTAAGACTCGGCCATCGATGACGAGATTCGCATTTGCTAACTATCTTTACGTTTCTCATGTCAGCTCACACCCACCACCGTGCAATATCTGAATCAAATAATACAGTACATTCAAATATCCGACTACGCCAATGCCCTGGAAATACACACACGTATCGCATTCGGCACGGACTTTGCGCAGTGTGCAGGCTTCATGCAGGGATTGAAGGTGCTGTTGCAGTCGGCGTCCGAGATGCAGTTGGTCTTGCGCTAAACCTTATACTACATACATACGTGTTTGAATGTACCCGCACCAGTCGGGCTCATTCAGCGTCTACTTATTGTGTCTTTTATAGTATGTCCTACTATCGTTTCTGTATTCGCCCCTCGTTAGTTTATTCTTGGATTGTGTCTGTTATATGTATGTCAACTGTGTAATGAACTATATTTCCACACAAGACGAAGATGGGACTTGTGCATGCATAACAAAACAAAAGTGCGTTACTAATGACAATGGCATTGATCTTCGGCTTACAGCAGCTTTGGCTGATTCCTAATATTATCAAGATCAAGCTGCATCTGGGGGGATGCGGAAGCCGCACGCCCCCCCCTGAAGGGCGATGGATTTGGCACGTGTTCATGAGCTCCATACTCCAATTGCTCTTCCGGTAGTAGGCGATATTTTTTAAGATACTTGTACGATGCATTCGACATGTCGTTGGGACTCTGTGCGTGGACTAGGTTGTCTATCTGCCGAAGGGGTTCCGCATGCGGTGATTTCTGAATGCAAGTAACATCCGCAGGCGACGGGGACAAGCGCATTTCATGCATCAGCTCGTCGACGGGCTGTCGCAAGTATTTTCGGGCGAGTTCCTTCATGACCATGCTCTTCTCCGTATTCGGCTTGGACGCCACACCGGTGGGTGGTAGTCGCGTAGTCTTAGGTGTGTTGGCACGGTATTCAGTCGACTGGGCTCTTGGTGGTGTGGACCGAGGCGACTGGAATTGTGGCAGACCCAGCGCGTGTGGTGCAGGCAAAGGCTCGTCCTCTTCTACTATGTAATCATGAATAACAGGTGCTATCCGCTTTGCTGTAGGTTGTTTAAAGGGGTTTTAGTAAGGGTTTCTTTTCGTTTGCTTTACTCACTGTTGCTAGTCGTTAAAATATCACACTGGGAGGCAATTGCCCTGCAAGGCTTTGAGCTGGAACCTGCACTCGCTTGTTGCCCCTGCAGTAACGACTCGCAGAGGCTTCTCAACTGTTGCTGCTCCTGATGCATGGACTCTAGAAGATCAACTACTTTGGCAAGGTCATTCTTATTGACCAAATTGCTCAAGTCGATGTCCGAGTACACAACGGACGGCAACGACGTTTGGGAGGGCGATATATGTACAGCTTCTGTTTGCGTTCCAGCACAAATCGTGAGCACATCCGTTGATGCCTGGACGGGTGGACGCATCGCCTGATGGTACTGCCTCACTGGCTCTGCGTAACCTGCACCAGACTGACTAGATGTCTGATATTTACTCGATGGGACCTCGTTTGCGTAAGTCCGCTCTCGAGGAGTAATAAAATATTCATTAGATGAAGCGGAGGGGCTGCTCGGAAAATTGTTGATGGCTTGGACCGGCCGCGGGCCAAGTTCCGTAGCCAGAATCGGCGAAAAGTTGACTCGGGGCAGCATTTGCTTCTTCCATGAGGCGAAGCTGGGCCGTGGCTCTGACGCTGGTTGCTGCGGGGTCGGTTCGGGCTGCGGTTGCGATGGTGATTCTCCGAACAATATTGAAACTTCCGGCACAGTTGGCCTGACAATTTGACCGGTGAGACCCAATGGTGCTGGTGCACTGGGTCTGGGCGCTGAGCGCGGCAGCATGTCTTCCGTTTCAGGCTCAAACATTTTCAATCTTATTTACAATTAAATTCGAGCGGGAGATTTTGATCAGAGCTTGTTAGCAGTGTGACCGCGAATTTATCCATAAAATATACCGCTTGACGCCCTCAGAATATACCGAAAAAACTTTAAAATTTAGGAAAAATGTACAAATTTAGGATTAATTAATTAATATGTAAAAATTTAGGGAAAATCTAGAACAAATTTAAAAATGTAATTAAATATAAAAAAAACCAAAAAAAATGTTTTAATTGCTCATTGACAACAGCTGACTGATATGAAAGAACAAAAGTACGAAAAATTATAATTGCTCGCTGACAAAAGCTGACTGATATGAAACGGAAAAATTATAATTGCTTGCTAAGAAAAGCTGGCTCGTGACACGTCATTAGCCAAATACGGTCGGTCCCAGTGCCGAACGCCGTCGGTCCCAGAGTCAAAGACCTGGGACCGTACACCGAAACCCTGGCACATCTATATACTGTATGGTTAGTGGTTTTGTGACACACCTTGGCAATATATGTAGAATGAATGTAAAAATCATTTAGAAGAATATCACATTTAAAATACCGATACCGAATATATAGCAGTATATTTCTGAGGGATAAGATGGTATATTTGATCGGTAGGTCCGCGGTCACACTTAGTGTGTGTCATAAAGAAAAACAAAAAGAAACTGGTGTTTATAACCCGAAATATGCCCGTTTTGGAACATATTGATGTCATGGCTTCGACACCAGCACCCGCTACCAACCCGGTGCCAACCGACACAGACGCCCCACACCAGGCCGCCCGTGAACTAACCCAAACGGATCATCTGAATAGACGTCTTTTGAAATCCCTATTGGACACGATGCAGATCCAAATGCAGTCTGACGATGCAAACCAGAGCAATGACGACAGCACCAACGATGAGTCCAATAACGAATTCGATGAATAAATCCAATACTATGATTACCCTAAGGTCATAAATCTTTTATTTCGAGCTGGAACAGAACTTCAATTACTATGGCGCTTGTTGCTCTGCTTCAACAATGTGACAATGTTTAGGCCGCGATCTTGCTGCGCAGGATTCCATTGAATTTTCCGGCAGGCCTACAGTTGATCAGTAATTTGCTTCCAGCTGCTTTGCCATAAATTCTTGTGACCTTACCGAAAAACAAAAAGAGAAGCGCCTCTAAATAGCGATTCTATGTTGATGTTAAATGGTTTTATTGTAATCTGGAATGTGTCTGCGTGTGTTTTTCCTGTGTGGGTGTGGGTGTGAGTGTAATACATTTCTGATAATACTTAATTAACGCATTTGTTATGACCTAATCCTAGTCCCATCAACATTGAGTGTGTGTCCTTGTGGGTCCGTGCGGGTCTGCCACTATTTACAGGTGAACTCCTCGTAGCTCTCGTCGCACAGCTCGCACTCCACCTGGCAGCACCATCGGAACTGGCAGCGGCACTGCTTGCTGCGTCGGATGTGCTGCGTGTTATGGCCACGCCCACAGCACAACAGGTCACAGCTCTGTGCTCCGTGTCCATTCCGCTGACAGAGACGACCCGCCGTGCCAAGGGTGCCCGTCTGAAGGCTGCGCTCACAGTAGTTTGGCGACGCCTCCAGGTAGATCAGCTCCATGCGTTTTGGCCACACCAAAGCAGGCTTCGGGGGGCGGGCTCCGGCACTGCCATGCTTCTTTCTGCTCGGCAAAGAGAGGCGAAAGAGTTCGTGAAATGAATTTTCAATAGTGTACGGAGTTGTTTTGCTTTCTGGGCTCAAAATCTTTCTGGCTAAACTTGCGATCCAGCTGTTGACTCACTCACCTGCTTATTACTAGTCTCAGTCCACGTTTGCCTCGAACGGCTTGAACAGTTTTGGCTTTATGATATTTCTGCATGAGCTTGTCGCCGATCAGGCGGAACGGTGGCAGGCTCTTCCAGCAGGTCTTCATCACGCAGGAGCCGCTCACGCCATGGCACTTGCAGTCCGTGCGAAGAAGTTTCTTCACCAGCTGATGGGGACGAGAACGGAGAGTCATTAAGGGACAGCCCACAGATGATAATATCCCGCATACGCACCGTTCGCCCGGCTCTGTTGTTGTGGAGATTCATCAGCGTGCGGGCATCGCGCTCCAGCTCACGGGCATCGATGAACTTGCGCGCATATCTCATGCCAAAGTCCACATCCGCGGAACAGCCGCCCCATTTCCAGGGCTCTGCTGGAACGCCATCCGCGGAGGGGACAGCTTTGTGCCGCACATCGCAGCCGCAGGTGGAGATGTTCCCGCGGGCACAGGCAGCGGTGACTGCATAGGCGGCTCCAGCACTAGCTATGGCATACGTATAGGCAGCCTCTCGCGATGCTGTGCAAGGATTAGATTAGAGGGCTATCGAATGGGGTTTTGCTTGCATACTCACCAATGGGTATGACATGGGCGAAGACATTACGCTGCCACACCTCCGAGCAGTTCCAGCGGTGGCCCCGAAACTGCTGCTGGCACTCCTGGGCCCCCAGCTGGTGGCCCTCGCCCAGGGCGATCAGGGCGTCCGGCATCTCTCCGCACAGCTGGCGCTGCGGCAAGGTCAGGCCCGGAATGCGGCCACAGAGCATGGCGGATGTAAAGCTGGACACTAATCTGACGAGAAATCAAAGCAAACAGAACCATAAATAACACCCTGTAGACCACCAAGCGACATCGAATAAAATATTACAAACAAACGCCGATCGATCGTTCGTTCGGTCGTTCCATCGATCGCTCGGATCGCTGCTGGGATCGTTCGATTGGCAATGGCTGAAAAGTCGTGCACAGAAATCGCCGCCAGCACTGGAGCTGGGGCTCGATATTCATTTTCATTTTCCATTTCGTTTGCCAATGGAGGCTTCAGCCCCACATCTCGGCCAATCGAAGACAAACGTATTAAAGCCAGGCCAAGTCGAGTCTGGCCAAGATTAATGCGTTGCAGTTGTTTGCTGACTCTGGCAGGTGGCTGTGGCTGTGGGAGGGCTGCCAGTGCAGAGGGGTCTTACGGGGCGTTATTCTGTCAGTTTTAGTCAAATCTTTGCCGCCAGCTGTATTATTAGCCATAATTACATGGATATGGATATAGAGATGGCGATGGAGATGGAGATGCAGGAGAAGCTCAGGCTCGGGCAAGCAGCCATCGTGACTCGATGGAGTGTCCAATCAACTCAACTCCGTTTGAGCCACGTTGATCTCCGCATAGCTGATCTCAGTTGTTGAGTTAAATGGCCAAATTAATGCTAACCGTCAGAAATGGCAAATGGGATTAATGAGTTTTGACAATGAGTTGCAAATTGCCAGAGTCGGAGTCAGAGTCGGAGCCCAATAGCCAGGTGGGGGCGTCTCCCACTCCCACTCCCACTCTCTCTCTCTCTCTCTCTCTCTCCTTTCTCGCAGCCTACTCTCCGGCCCACTGTTGAGACGTGTCCAACTGTCTAACCTGTCGATTTGCGGCTGCCAAACCAATCAGCATCAAACAGCTGGTACCATAATCAAGTCGTAGATCGATCGCCTTTTGTCCGCACCGGTGGACGGGGGAAGTGGGTCGGCCGAAACTGGGATTGTTGCCATGCCAAACACATCCTCGGGCCAAAAAAACAATTGGGTGGGCACAACTCCAGGTCCGACTGGTTGCCACATGGCCGTGCCACATCTGTATACAAATGTAAATTGCTTTCGCTGCCTGCCACTCCGGTGTCTCCAGCATTGCAGCTCCAACTCTTACAAGACATTTTTAATTGCGGCAATTAAATCAATTTACAGAAAATTACACATTTTACCAACCGCAGAAGAGCACGGAAGAGTCGTCTTCTCCCCCCAGACCTAAACGAACCTTTAGCCGATCGATTGTGTACGTTGATCGACGCGGGTTGATCGACTTTGTTGATGTTATGCCCTTCCAGAGGTATACCAAATACCCCTTTGATATACCCAGGATGTGGTATATAATATACCAGGGTATTTCAGCTGTCGACCCGCCCCTTCTATCCTTTCTGTCTTGTTCATGTTGATGTTGTTGTTGTTGGCTTGTTAAACATGCTGTTAACATGACTTGAACGAACCGGGACGATCGATGAACGATGAAAATTGGTGGCAAAACTAATAATTAGGCTCGCTTAACCGGCACGACCTGGTAACTGGCTGCCTGGGCTGGCCTGGCCTGGGCGAAGGGCCCCCAACCACAAACCTTCAACTTTTAGTTGGCCCGAAAACAAGCTGATCAATCTGTCGGTGCATCCGTTCTGACTGTCAGTCAGTCAGTCAGTCAGTCAATAGCTTTTACGTGCGTTCGCTCAGCGTGACCGTCATGCCCCCCTTCCCTGTGCCCTGCCCTTCTTCTATAACAACTCCCAACCTCCGAACAGCCGAACGAACAATCAAGGCAACCATCTCTCCTCAACCCTTTTGTTTTTAGCTGCTTTATTTGCCTGCCTCTGCCGCTGCCACTGCCGTTGCGGCTGCCTCCGCCTGTTGCATGTCAACGCCGACAATTTCATCACCATCATCATCATCGCCATTACCTTCCGCCGTTCCCTGGCCCTGGCCCTGCCCAACCCATCCCCATCTCCATCTCCATCCCCTTTAATGATCTCCATCCTCTTGAAGAGTCCAAGTCACGTGTGTGTGCTTGATTTGTGCTTTGTTTCGCGGATCCCTTTCTCTGTTTTTTTGTCCTTAGACTGCTTCACTTTTTTACTCGTAGTTTTATCTCTGGTTCTATATCGAGCACGGTTCGGGGTTCTGCCTTCGTTTCGTGACCCTTTCTGCTGCGTGAGAGCAAGGACCTGTCATGAACTTGATACCATTTCCGCCTCCGCCTCCGCCTCGGCCACAGCCACAGCCTTTCCCACCACATACGAGACTCTCTCTCCATCTACGAGCATCCCAAATAGAGTTTCGCATTAAGAAAAATGAAACTAGTTCCATTGACAGTCTTATGGCTTCTGCTCTGCAACAAATTGGTGATTCCTCAGCCAGTAATTTGCACAAAAATATTTGCCACGACAACGCGGAATCATTAAAAATGGATTAAGCCAAGCGCATAACTCAACGCCGGCAGCTGGAACGGAGCTGGACTAGGCCCGGGGACGGGGGAGATAGGCCACTTATGTGCTGGCTGGCCAAAGCATAAATGCCCGAACACAGAGCGATTCAATACTCGTAACTGGCCAACAGCAACGCCAGCCAACAGCACAGCCCCAAAAGAGAGACCGAGAGACCGACTTAATGCGCACTTTGGAGCCTCATAAAAATATGACTTTAATATTTTCACGCGCAGGCGTAGAAGCCCGAACCCGAACCCGAACACGATCTCCTCTTCCCTTCCCTTTCCACTGTACAGGCCAGACACTGGCCCGGCGATCCTCGACTGCCGCATACGCTGGCTGCGCCCGAGTCGATCTGGTTAGGGCCCTGTCATAATTGTGCGAATCTAGTCCGCTGCATAGTTTCGACCCACCGCTGTGTCGAGGCCTGGCAGTGGGACAGGGGACTGGGACCGGGACCGGGACAGGGACAGGGACTCCAGCGAAGGCGGTTGTGGTGCGAGTACTACACCAGTAGCGCCTCCAAGAGCAGGCAGAAAAATATGACTGGCGCTCTCGCCGGTAATTACATGGCTTGCTGACATGTTCATGGCTCTCCTTGGACCTGCATGGCCCTGCCGCCTACCACGCTGTGTCCACGCCCCCCGCCCCCCATCTCCTATGGCTCCTTTTGGCACCAATTGGAGGCGGAAGCAACAAAGGCGCTTTAATCCAGACAAAACAATGCAATGCCCTGGGTCCGCAGTCTTCCATCTGTCTCCCTCTCCATTGGGGCATTTGAAAGTTTTGTGGCGCTGATAAAAGCAGCAACTTTGCTCTACAGCTGCATGTAAAGTGGGCGGTGCCGGGAGGGAGTGGTCAACGGTGGGGCAGAATGTGGGCGGAGGGGGGGGTGGGGAGGGGAGGGTGCAACGAACAAACCGAAAACCCATAAAGGCTGTTCAACATGCCATCAATAAAATACAAATATTCCAAGACCAAGAAGCGCAGCGGATGGGTGGCTGCAGAGAGAGAGAGAAGGAGGAGAGTGGCAGTGGCAGTGGCAGTGGCGAGCGGCGTGCGGCCTAAAGGAGCATTGAAGCGAAGCAGACCATGGTCATGGCCAAGAAAAATGTCGCTGCCACGGTCAGACAAACGGCCAGCAACAATTGCAGCCCATCCTGGCCACAAAAACGACGACGTAATTGACCAGAGAAAGACATATGTAGGTGCACTGACAGAAATTGGAGAGAATTAAGAGAGAGTTCTGGAGAAGTAATACAAACATACGGATCCGTGTGTTTTGATTTCACAATAATATATATATATGTATATGGGGAATAGGGAAGAAATACAATAAATACAACTATAGGAAATGATTTAGAATGAAACCAGAGCGAAGAACCGAAATACAATACGGCCTATTAGAGTCAGCCGGTGGCCAGTCTGCGCTTTCCCCTTACTCAGAGGGTAACCCGAGCATGGAGTGAACTCTGAAGAGGCAGCGACTTGACTCCAACGGGCAAAAAGCAGAGCAGGCAACCCAACCACTCCCTCCACTCGCTTTGTTTGCCTACGATTGTTTTGCTCAGTGTATGTTTGCCGTGTCCATGTAACAGGTAAAAGCCAAAACGGATCGTTCGTCATGGACAATTGGCAGAGACCAAGTGGTCGAATGGCCACTCAGCCATCCGGCTCTCTCTCTCCTCGCTCTCCTCCTGCGGCTCTTGCGGCTCTTGCGGCCGCCCTTGCCATCACGGCCCAGACAAACAGACAAACAGATCAACGGCAGATAGTTTTGTTTGTGCTTTGAGGTTTGCAGTCGATCACTCATCCATAGCCAGAGCTACGACTGCATATACGATATACGAGTAGTAAAAAGAACTCCACCAACTCCACTGTAGCCACAGAAAAGATTCCTCGACCACCTTTGCCGTTGCCGTGGCCGCTGCCGCTGCCGCCGACGGCTCCCGCACAGCTCTGCAGGTTGCCCTGGGAAATTGGCAACAGGCAACCGACAACTGGCAACTGGCAACTTGCAACAAGAGTTTATGCCATTTTGGGCTTGTAAATGCAACGGGGTTGGCCAACAAGTCTCAGCACACAGAGTGATCTTGATCGCAATTTGAGCGTTTGTCTGCACGTTCATGCGTTCCAATTGTCCATGTACGAGAGCAGAGCAGAGCAGAGCAGAGCAGGAGATGTGGATCGGGATATGGCTGGGGAGCGGAGTTGTGGAGGGAGTTGGGGCTGCAGCTGGAAGTTGTTTCCTGCTTGGTGCGGAGGCATGCGCCTTAAAATTGCAGTAACCTCAATTACATGAGCTAAGAATTTCTGGGTTAAGACCCTTTTCTCAATTTTTGTTTCGTTGGTCTCTTGGCTTGGTTCAAGCTCTGGGCCAAGGCCTGGTCGGCGTTGCTGAAGCTCTCTGGCATTCATTGTGTGCACAGGCTCAAGCTGGAGACCTCAGCGTCTCATCGCGTCGGCCCACCAGTCCAGTCCAGCCCACTGCCACAAGGATGGAGAAGAGAGAGAGAGAAGTGGAGCCGCGTATCTTAAAGATACACTCCACTCATTGCAGTTGCAACTGCATCGGGGCAATTAGATAGCAGTCGGAACAGCCACAGATACGGACAGACACACACACACATACATACACATGTACATGGACAAGGCAACGTTGATGAGTTTATGGCAAAAATTGATTTCAAGTTGTCGTTGATGCTCCTCCTCCTCACCATCCTCACCAGCCCCTCCCCACAATGCCGCCTTCCGTACCGCGGATAGTGGTGCTCCTCCGCTGTATTCCGCTGTATTTGGTACAAATGGCAGTCGCCTTGATGACGAGTCGGCTGTCTTTCTGTCAGTTTTGTGTTTTAGTTGCTGCCTGCCATTTAATTGCCAATTTTAATGAGATTTTTTCCAGCGCGTTTTCTTCCCACCCTACCCCCCGCCTCCAGCACTTACAGTCGTCCGACCGATTTATGGCAACGCCTGCCGTCATTTTTCCAACCATAGAATAGGCTCTAGGAGCCGAGCGAGCACACCACGAGTCTTGAGGACTGTGAATTGAGGCGTACACTGTTTGGGCGTTCGATAAGGAATAACAATTTACATATGTACATCCCGTACATCTCGCTGTGGTTTTTGCAGATAAAAATTAGCGATCGTGTCCAGCGATGTGCGCGATAGGAAGGACGCCACGCCACGGCACGAAAGAGTTGTCAACCCGAGCAGATCTGTCAGCGATAAAAAGGCTAAAGCCCAACCAACTGCCACACGAATCCAAAGAATTGTTAGGCAGTAAAAGCTAATGGCCATGGCCAACACCATTGGCAGGGGCACACCGATTATGGGAGCTACTATACCTTATTTCCATAATCCAGAGTATGTAGATTAAGAGCTTGTTATGCGTTTTCCACATGACGATGCAGATCGATCCGAGGCGGCACACAACACAAATACAGGCGCAACAATTGCCACTATCATCATATCCCATTCGCACTGAGAGTCTCGATTCCGATTCCCCAGATGGGGCCTGGAGTCCGTTCCTTTTGCTGATGCTGCTGTTATTCGAGCGCAGCAGTTCCTATGGCTCCGCTTTACTCGTTAACCACTGCCATAGGAAACCAAAACGAACAGAACCGAACCGAACCGATACGGAAATTCTATTGGCTGTAAACTAATGCCTCAATGTCTGGTTGTTATTAATGATCCGAAAACGCAGACGGCAGCAGTCAATAATACACACCAATACACCAATGAACACTTGTAGGAAGAGGACCGGCCGGCCAGTGACCAATACCGAATCGAAAAAACGAAAACCGAAAGCCAAAAACCGAAATACAAAAAATACACAAGACGGCAAACTTTTTTTTTTGTCCAGTTGTTCATATGCTAATTAACACCTTCTGCTTCTGCCAGCGGCGTTTCAATTAAGTCATCGCGAGAGCACCAAGATCGGATCACAAAACAGTTTTCGAGATGATGCTGGGACTGGGACTGAAGCTGGGACTGAGGCTAAGGCTGGGCACTGATGGTGCTGTTGTGGCCAGCAGCAGCTCGTTTATCAGCGCGTGCGTTTCATTCATGCAAATCTCCGCCTTGGCCCGGCCATAACTCACAGCCGAAACTGGCATCAGCGGCGGCACCATCATCCATCAGTTGGGCCGCGGGACGGTGCGGGGGTCCGTGCTCTGTCCGACTACACGATTTTTTAATTTATGATAAAGCGCCTCCGACTGTCACAACGGAATTGCGGCAATAACCATAAACGGCTCAGCAGGTGAAAATTACCAAAAAAAAAAAAGAAAAGAAAAGAAAAGAAGAGAAGAATTGCCGAATGCTGGAGAGTCCGGGGATAGCTGGATCTTTGGATCGTTGAGTGTCGCTTGAAATGCTTAGACGTCCCGTGTGCGGAGATTAACATAAATGCAGCTCATTAGTGACGCAATTAAAGAGCCGAGCCGACAAACGACAAACGGAGCCAGGAACACCGATCGATTGTTCGAGTCGTAGGAAGGAGGTACGGCACTGCCTAATGGCTGATCGCTGCACGAACCCGATCTGCCAGATTGCCCTATATGGTATATGGTATGCTGTATGCCGTATGCCGCTCGACCGACCGTCGCGCACGAGTTATAGTTTAAGTTTGAGCGGCCCGAAAAAAATTCACACACCACCCGAAACAGCCGGGCCGGGCAGCAGCCAACATGTTCGAGTCTGATGTGAGGCTTGAATAATGAATGAACGAATGAATGATTGAAAAGTAACCTATAGGGCATAAACAAAGTAAAAGCGGCTAGAATTTTGTGTAGAATAATATTAGTGCAATTTGAATCTACAGAATTTCCCAGTTGTATACTTATCTAGATAAGATATACTTTACTTTTACTGCAGAAAATATTAGAAGTGTGTATAGATTCACGTACAGCTTACATAAATAGAACAAATATTCTGTCTTGTATTTTAACTGTTATTGATCAAATTGATCAAAGAATTCTATACAACCTGGCTCTCGCCTCAAACATGTTGCTAGGCCGCTAGAGCCAACTGAAGTTTAAGCCCTGTTCGATGAAGCTGGGCGCAACATGTTCGTACTCCAATGATTGCTTGCGATTGGCTGCTGATCCTGCACGTGACTGGAATGTAGCCCCCCGCCCCTGCCCTCTTGCCATTTCCGAAAGATAATGATTTCGATTTAATGATTGTTTGGGAGAAAACTTTCTTCGGCAATCAATTCAATTATGTGGTTAAAAGTCGTGTTTTTGCGTCTGAGAATTTTTGTTGTGGCAGGCTAAACGATTGGGACTGGGGCTTCTCTTCGACGAATCTTCAGGCCCCCTTGCTTCCCCCTATCCACCGACCCAGCCTGGGCGATTTGTCAAACGTGTCTAACAAAACACAAATCATGTTCATCAAAAGTGTGAGGCTACAAATGTGTACAAAATTTAACAGATTTTTCGCAGATTTTGTTGCTGCTTTTCCACGCTCAAAATTTATAACTTGTGTTGACTCCGACTCCGACTTCAGCTTCAACAGCAGCAGATTTCTGCAGTCTACAGTCTGCAGTTTTACAAATTGTTTTTGAACATTTGTGCAAAGTGATTTATTGTCGGTTATTTGCAGCCCGCCTCTCGGTTACATTGGGAAATGTTTTAAGCCTCGATATATTATTTTTCACGCGCCTCTTCTGCCAGCCCCAATGACAACTGCGCGGGCATACGGTAGCCGGGAGGAGGTACTGCGGGACTGTGGGACTGTGGTCCCAGTGGCTGTGGCTGTGGCTGTGCAGAAGCTGCAGCATCTAATGCATTTCTCGGATACTTGTGTCGTCTTAATTGATATGTCATTTATGCTAATTCCTGGCCTCACAGGCCTCGGGTCCGGAACAGTCGCTGCATACTACATGCATGCATATATATCCCTCTCTCTCTCTTGACGACTGGATGTGGGATACAAGACGTGTTCTGTTTAGTGCCGCCGCTGAGGTAACGCTCGATGGCAGTCTATTAAATGCAATTAAGTTAATTTAAACAGTTTGGTGGAAAGCCGTTGACAGCTAACAGTCAAGAGTCAGCAGGTGCCCGCTGTTCCAGCTCGAAATAACAATTGAAAATCCATTGTTGTTTACTTGACTTTAGTTAGCCGTCACCTGAGTCATCATCCTCATCGCTGGTACCCAGAACCCCCGATGATTAGAATGATGATCATGATGATGATGATGAGCTGTTAATCCCAATAATAGTTGACGTCAATTACTGCCAATCTCTGCCCCGATGTATTGTCAGCATCTGGCTCTGACTCTGACTCTGAGGCATAGCCAGCCCCAGTCTTGGCTGACCCAGATACCGGGACAGGGACAGCCAGTAGTCTATTGCTGAAGTACCCGCAACACACTCGTAGTTTATTGTGTGCCAAGACTTTTAAATTTAATTGTTTTATGAAGCCTCAGCCTCTCTTTATGGCCAGCAATTGATTGTTGATTAGCTGCAACGCGAAAATGTCGCTGCAACATTGTTGTGCCTCAACGGATCTCGAGGATCCCACTGGCCTGGCTGCAGCGAAAGGTAATCCAAATCGCTCCATTGTTTCTGCTCCGAGTCAAGTTTCTTGCCAAAGTCTTTTGTTTCGCAACAGAATCTGTAGCATCTGTCGTAAGTTCTACTGTCTCGCCAGATCCGATCCATTCATTTATTGATGTATGTATGTAAATTCCATTGAAATTTCATAGCTCAGAGTTCTCTTCCCCCAGCTCCAACTTCCATCAGAATAATTGGCTACCTTTGCCCCAAGCCAGCTTTCGTCGCTCCACTGGCAGCTGACCATAAAACAATATATAAAACGCACAGAAAAAACAAGGCACAGCAGCCATGAAATAATCATGAATAGCCCAAAAAGTTCCATTTAAACAACAGAATTACCAAAAAAAAAAAAATCAAGTGAGAGAGGGAGAGAGAATTGCTTTCGGTTTATTGTTATTTGTTATGGCTCAACGCTCGGTTTCACATTTCCCCCACGGAGCAGAGCAGAGCAGCTTCCGCTGCCCGTCGAACGCCAAGCAGCGGGTGGAGAGGCATGAAGAGGCATGACAGCCAGTGAAGCGATCAGGTCCGAGGAGTAGGAGTGCGGAAAATCGCATTGGGAAAATGCTGTTTCGGGCTAAACACCGATTGCCCATAAACAAGCTGAGCTGTAAACTGAGCTGGAAAAGCGGCGCAGCAGCGGCAGGAAGACTCTGCCTCTGGCGATGCGATGGCCAACGCATCCGATTTCATCCACTGGCAAAAGGTCGATGCGGAGCCAGTCTATGAGTGGAGGAGCGATTTATTAACAAGAGACTGCGAATGCTGTGGCATTTTGCATTGTGCTCGTAATTACGAAACAACGGCCGACACCTTCGAAAAAGATACAGATGTATCTACGCCCCATTAGCTCATCCTCAACCCCGTCCCGGTTACCATCCATCCCGCTGCGAGGCAGCAGCAGCGGCAAGTGTTAATTGAGCTCAACCAAAAAAAAAAGAGAGAGAGAGAAAAAAGAAGATAGCGAAGGAAATGCTGCTGACCCAAGCAGCTGCCAGGAGAAGGTTTCATTTCGTTTCGTTTAGTGTTTGGTGGTTTTCCGTTTCTTTTACCTGCAGATACCGACACTTTCCCCGGACCGGGCTGATAGGGTTAGGGTTCGGGCCCAAGGACAAGGACAAGCCATTGATAATGACTGGCGCCAGTTGGCCAGCGACTCACTTGGACAAATTGATCGCTAATTGGTGGAGGAAGAGCGACAGATTGCGTCCGATCGTGGGAGGATTAAAGGGCAGCGACTAAAGTGTTGAATTAAACTTTATTGAATTAATTACAATTATACAGAAACTGGAAAGTCGTTATACAATTTATAAATATGTATATATTGTATATATATAACTCTATCTGTGTGTGTGTGTGTGTGTGTGTTTGTATCAGTGTCTGTACATATATTTGTATGTATAATACGTTGATTCGTTAAACATCCTTTAGTTTTTGCATATAAATATATATGTATTCATATATTTGTATGTATGTAGATATAGTATGTATATAGTTACATGATGAATATCCCATACAAGTAGGTATAATTATTTAAAAAGAGTACACTCTCTATGCATACAATAATTCGCTTAAAAGTTTAGTTAACAGTTTTCACATACTCTCGTACCCTCCAAATATTTGCCCTACTAAGCAGAAACAAACAATTCTCAGATTTAGTTTTCAATTAGTTAGGGGCTAGGTTTTTGGTATTCAGTTAGGATTAGGTTTAGGTTTAGGATTACTTAGTTGGAGTAGAATGTTTTTGCCTGGTACATGCGCCGCACTTTAGAAGTTCTATTAGGACGAAGATAGGTAGAAATTATCTAACAGATATGTGAGTACCAAATATCCAATTACATTAGCTAAAATATATATATATATTATTATATTATATATATATATTGGTTGTTGTATAAAGTTTCGTTAAATATCAACAATTTTTGGTGTTTTATTAGAGTTTAGTTCAGTTGATAGAAAAAAAAAACGCTTCAAATGAAACTAGGCGAGGGCGAAATGCCTATATCCTACGATCTGTTCGATACAAGATATACATAGTTTTTTTTATTGTTATTTTTTGTGTGTGTGTTTATCGTATCGTATATATGTATAATTGTTTGTTAGAGTTTTAGTTTAGTTTAGTTTAGATTAGTTTTTAGTTTTAGCGCCAATTGGCTTAAGGTACTTAAGTTTTTCTTTGCCCTTTGGCCGCTTCTCTACCTTAAAAAAGACTTCTTTTCCATTAAAACACACTCAGGTTTCATCTACATTGAGGTTTATAAATTGTGTGTGTGAGTGTTGGTGAGAGTATAAGAGTGTGTGTTTGTGTATTATGTGCAAATATTGCCATTTAATTAGATTTCGATTTCATTTTCGTTTTGTAGTTGCTGTTTACATGTCTAGCACACTGCCTAAGCAAGTTAACAAAATTGATTGCAATTCTTAAAGTCAGTTGAGTAGTGAAATCGTATTTAGTCTTCATTTCTGTTTTCGAATCAGTTGAGTTGATCAGATCTATGTATATGTATATAGTACACAGTTAAGTAAGAGAAAAATGCAATCAAAGTTCCGTTGAGTAGTTGTTAAGAGTGCGAATTAAGTATAATAGTTCTGTAGTTCAATAGTTAACAATGTGTCTCGTCCTGCCCTGTCCTGTCCTGCCTTCACTCCATTCCACCGCTGCTGCGGCTCTGATTGTGACAAACGTTCACAGATTTCCAAGACTCTGCCACTGAGGCAATCGCAGTTGAATATTGGGATTACACAGTAAGTCGGAATTTGTATTTTATTCATTTGTGAGCTCTTCTGCTTTCCTTTCCCCTTCGTAGTTTTAGATTTGGTGTATTTACATACATTAGTTTTTGTTTGTTTGGTTTGTCTACTTATTCAAACTTGAACGGTTCTTAAAAATTGTTTCATTGCATCATTCATTGCCTATCAGATCGGTATCGTCGGTTCATTCTCTATATATATGTATGTAAGTAGGTATATATATATATTTGTTTGGTGTATATTTGTAAGTATATATGCTTTTGTTGGTATGTTATGAAAGCTAACAATGTGGACGGACAAAAATAATTTACAAAAATTCATTTATTGTTACATTTAGTTTAAAAACTTTTCTCTCTTGCTTTTTGGTTTTTTTTTTTTTTGGGTTTTTGGCTGTGTTGTCAAGCAATTATAGATCGCGTATCAATCAGTTGAGGCAGCAGAAAGTTGAGACTTAGATTTCCACCATAACAACGTGCCCCCGTCCACCGTCCCTACTCCTTTCAAGTTTGTTTGGGTGGAGATCTGAGGGGCTGGGGGGCTTAAGTCATCATCCAAAGGAGCTTCACAAGGTTATCTCTACGTTTGTTCTATTCTATCATTCACTAGGCTTAGTCTAAGTAGTCACATAAATTAAGACTTAGCACACATGCATAGCTTTAAGTACTTGCGTGAGGGGGAAATAAGATTAGTTTTAGCTTTGTTTGAAACATGATATATATATGTATATACGGCCGTATGCGTGTAGATTTGCAGCTGCTGCGCCACTCCAAATTCTACTCTGATTTTAGAAATCAGCAACAACATTTTGGACTTAAGAGTGGAGTTCCCCCATACATAGTCTTAGAGCTAAATAGCAGTTAGCGTAGCGACTAGTTAACTAGCTATCTAACGTAGTGTAGTCGATGATTAATGCATCTGGATTGGGGTGTTCTTTGTTTAGTTTTTTGTTTTTGTTTTGGGTTTAGAGACAAGCATAGTCGCATTGCAGAGCTTTGCTTGTTAGTAAAATCAAATAGACTAGAATTTAGTTAGTTGGGCATATCTATATATAGTATGTGTATATATGTATGTACAAATGTAACTATATAGGGGCATACACTTGCTATTAGTAATATTCATTTAGGTTCTTTTGTATATAATATATATACTATATGTATGTATGTATGTTCATATGTGTATATCGTAGACTACGATTTCCGCTACAATTGGAGTTAAAAAGTTTTTTCAAAGGCTTCGGTAATAAGTTCTTTCAAGTTGACAAATGGAAAAATTGTGTGTTCTCATCCATCTCCCTGGAGTTCGGTTCGATTTTCAGTTAAGTTTAGATTAAGTTAAATACTCTTATTTGTAAAAACCACTAACCTAGGCTAAGTTCATTTTGAAATCAGTTACAAGTTTTTGTTTTAAAATTCGTTACGCAAATGAATCAAAGTGCAGTTAGTTCTTGCTACTAATTCAGTGATAGATAGGTAGAGAGAGAGAGAGAGTTGAGTTGAGTTAAGTTCAGTTAAGTTGGAAGCAAAAGTTTCACTACGGAGGTGCTTGAATTTTAGTCTTGATCGAAAAAAATACGAAAGTAGAAACGTTTCACTCAGTTGGTAAAGCTATTCATAAATTCTTATGGAACGTTGTGGCCTGTAGCCCGGCCCCTTCGTTCCTATGTTATTAAAAATGTTCACTCAGTTTACCCTCACTGATTGGATTGTAGATTGTTGATGCTGTTCATATAGGTGGTCTGCCCACTGATCTGGGCAGAACTGCTGCAAATGGTTTACAGATATTACAAAGAATTCGAAACATCATAAATGAATGCATCAACTTACTTATTTTCTAGGCAAGCCAAGATTTCCTGCTGCCCTTGAAACTGCAAGTTTTGAAGGTATTCCGCCCTGCGTTGGTGCACCAGCTTCTCTTTTTCGGCTCGCTCTCTCTGTAGTCTGTACGTGTGGGGGGAAATGAGCAATACCATTAGTAAGTCTGATAACATGGGAATCTACATGTCATAAATTGCTAAATTAAATGTTTCAAAATCGTTAAATAATAATACTCTGCGCCGTCTTACCAAAGTCGTCAAATTGGCATCCCAAATGCTTGCGTGCAATTACAGTACCCATGAGTTATGTTAGCTTATGGTTATCCCATATCTACTATATATGTAGCTACTATGTCTAGCGACTAGTTAGACTATTAACTTACTTGATGCGTGATTGTCTCATGAACTGTTGGATCTTCCTGGCAGCTTGATTCTGGGTGGACTGCGAATAGGTTCGTCTGGAAAATGCCATAAAAATGAGTAAAGAATGATTTTATTTATATTTGTAGTTCCACACTCACTTCAACGGTCCCGAGGGACTTGTTTCCTTGGGCGTGCTCGGCTGGGAGCCCATCTCATGCTGCTGCTGCTGATCCTGCTTGTAGTGATCGTAGAAGCTGGACAGGCACTGCGAGTTGCTGCTGACGCTGCCATGATCGCTGCCCCCTGCCATGCCCTGGCCCAGGCCACTCTTCTTAAAGCGTTTGTTCTTTCGATAGGAACGATAGCCATGCTGGATGACCAGCGCGGCGTTGGTCATCTGCCTGTAGTAGGCGTACTGCTTGTACCGCCTGTAATAGTTCTGGATGACGATGGCGGCAGTGCGCTCTTTGTTCTGCTCCTCGAGCTTCTGGCGGCCCTTGTACGAGCGATAGGCCTTCTGTATGCACTTGGCCGCCTCGTACAGCTCCCGCTGCTCAGTGTCGGTCAGCGTCAGCTTGGAAAAGTCCGCCTCGAACGGATACTGCGACAGGCTGGAGGCGTGCAGGAACTCGGTCAGCTGCTTGGTCGACGGCGGCGGACTGGGCGAGCTGACAGACGGATCAGTGCCCAGTATGGAGTAGCTGGCCGGCGACTGCAGCGGTCCCGAGCTGGCGGGACTCAGGCTGGAGCAGGGCGTGCTCACATCGTGGTACCGATAGCTGTGGTCATGGAAGTCGAAGCTGAAGTCGCTGTCAAAATGCGTATTGGGCAGCGAGTCGAGCAGGGGATCCATAAAGCTGTCTGTCAACGCCGATGACTCTGATGTCAATGGCTCAGTCAAGGGGCTTCCCAGCACCATCATTTCATCTGCTTCATTCTGTTAATGTTTTGGATCGTTAGTTAGCAAGGGAAGTGAAAGTGAAAGTATTTCGCTGCCTAAAACTTACTTTGATGCGCTCGGGCATTGCTGCTATAATGTGTTCGGCCAGTGTCAGCACTTTGGCATCCGAATCCCCTGAAAACATGCCATTATCCAGAAGTTATCAATAACTGTTTGCAGTTTATGCGAATATTCTTTATACAAATGCAGAGACATGGCAAACGAGTCTACTAAAAATAGAGCTGGGCACTTTTTGCCTTCATCTTTAATTTACTTTACTTGAATATCGAATGAAATCAGGCCGAGGAAGCCGAGACCCAACTCTATTTTAAAATGCTTGCACAATATTTAAGTACATTATTATTATAATTAATATTTATTATATTATTATACACCGACAAGCAATTCGTTGAGTTTGTGTGTTTAGTGTGTCTGTGTGTGTGTGTTGGTGTCTAGCTATTTACATACATATGTAGGTACAAACACACATTTCGAGTAGTAATACGAGTATTTACAACGATCAGTTCGTGGCTGATTATGCGAAAGGCGGGCGGGCGTGTGTTTGTCAGTTTATAGTTTGTAATTGGTTGATTATAGTATAGACATCGATATAAACGCACATTTATGTAGTTTAGGGTTAGTTCTAGTCTGAAACTGCACCGCCCCGCAACAAGGGGCGCACCAACCCAGTAACCAGCAACACAGCAACCAATATTAATAACGAACATTTACGAGTACATTGATTAAACGAGCTCCACAATACACATACATATACATATACATATATTTATAGTCACGTATACGGGCAACAACAACATCAACAGCAACAACAATATGAACAACATCGATAGCCATAGCCCCACCCCATAGACCCCCAACCCATACCAGCATGGTTTTGGTTAGTACATTTTAGCTACAATACGATTAAGTACAGGTGAGTGGAAGAGAGAAAGCCGGAGAGAAGCAGTAGCCTCTCTGCCATCACTGACCTACAACTGCATCGGCCAGGGCCAGGGCCATGTCATTGCCTATGGTCACATCTGTGGCGCTCGTCAAGGTGTCATCGCCATCGATATCTTTGTCGTGTATGGGGCTCGATTCGCCCGTGGATACCTCGCCTAGTTTTAGAATTTACCGAGAACATTTTCACATTGATCATTTCTGTTTCGTTCAAGGATAAACCAAGCACTAGAGATTGGATCTCACTTGTTCATGCACAGGCCGATCCCCAACACTTACACAGGGCAAAATCCATTTTACGCAGTGGCGAGAGCAGGCAATTGGTCCCAGTCAGCGTATCCAGCGGCGAGTCCACGCCCAGTGCATAGTTGTCGTGGCCCTCAAAGTTGCTGCAATGGGCAGGGAATCGAATACGTTCACTAAATGCCCGGGGGGGGAGATACATCTGTACTTTGCGGGTACATTACCTGTGCAGCCTGGCCAGGGATTTGCCCGACTTGCTGCGTATGTCCATGTTGATGCCGCTGTCTATGGAAGAGCGCTTGGAGTACCTGCTGCCGTTGTTGGGCGGACTTTGATTGCTGGCGGAGCACAAAGAACTGAGTGACGTGGACTCTAGCGGCCATTTGGGAGAACAGACGACTCACCTGTGCACTGCCCCAGGTCTGAGGAAGACGCCATCGTGCTTTCTTTGGAGGATCTCTAGGTCAAAGCTGTTGTAGATCTGCTGATGATCCTCCGTTTCCGTTTCCACGCCAATGTTCATGGAAAGGTTGGCCAGGCCGCCGCGCAAGTGCGGCTTGCGGCAGCGCTCCTTCTCCAGTCGAAACATCTGCACTAGGAGATGTTTGTGCCCCTTAAGGTTGGCCAGATCCAGTGGCGTTTGCTGGCCCTGCGTCTTGATCTTCAGCGCATTGTGATTCCACTTATAGAGCAGCAGGGAGCACTCCACATGGCCGCGCACACACGACCAGGCGAGCGGCGTGAAACCGTAGACATCCTGGCTGAGGGCGTCCAGCTCCGTTTCGAGTATGATATGTGGATTCTCCGCGCGCCAATTGAGCATGGCGCCCACCAGCTTGGCATAGCCCAAGGCGGCGGCCAGATGCAGCAGCGTCATGCCCCGCAGGCCCACGGTCCAGCTAGCCACTGTGCTGGGCATGCTCCAGGCATGCTGTGTCAGCTTGTGGCAATACGCCACCAGCTTCTCCTCAAAGTTTGGCTCCAGATAGAGCGCTGTGTGGTCCGACTGCAAGGAGAGAGCACTTCAGTTAGAGGAGAGCTATAAAACAATCGTCAGCTCACCGTCAGCTCCTGCTCCGTCTTCAGCTGCAACTTGTCATCGATGGTCGAGAGGCGATTGAGCAGCGTAAACTTGTACAGGCAATCGTTGGAGCTGCTCGCATCGAACGGGGCGTCGGCCAGCAGCGACAGCTTGTACTCGAACATGACCGAATTGGACACAAGAAAGCCGCCGCAGGCGACCTGAAGCGTCACAAAGCCCGCCTCATGAGCAGGACAGTAGCAACGTAGCACTCCCTCCTGCACCATCTGCGTGGGCACGGGCTGGGCATCGAAGAGCACCGTGTAGGCGCTAGCACCATTGCTGCTCGTCCAGGGTCCGGCAACAAGCACCTTGACTCCACCCTCGGTGTAGGACCACTCCGGACTGAAGTCGCAGATGTTGTGGATCTTGCGGAGCTGCTGGGCCTGAGTGGCCGCCTGTCCCAGATAGGAGCCCTGCTCCAGGGCCGTATTGTTCAGGGCCTGCTTATCATCCAGATCCAGCTCGGGGAATTCCACGAGCATATCGAACGCATCCAGATTGGCAAACACATCGTCTGTTTCATCCTCTTCAGGTTCGGCTTCGACTTCATGGCCGAGTGGAGGTTTCTTCTCCACTTCTTGGGGATTGCTGTTGCCGTTGCTGTTGCTGTTGGTTTGGCTACTGTTGCTGCCGCCTGTTGCTAAAGGCTCTATCGTTGACGTGGCGGCTGCTTCTCCTGCAGCCGTATTGTATGGCTGCATATTGGCTATCAGTGTACGTTGAATATCCTCATGGGATAGATCCAGGGTTTCGTTGAAGAAGCTCAGGGTCTCGGCAGCATTGCCCGCCTGGGGCTCGTCCACGCTGCTGTTGCTGCTGCTGCTGCTGCTATGGCTGCCGCTGCTGCTGGGGATGCTATGGCTGTTGTTCTGATTGTTGGCCCCAAAGCTGTTGCTCTCGTCGCTGGCGCTTATTTGGCTGCTGTTATCACTGGAAGCACTGAAATTTGCACAACCATTTTGGCTCAGAGTTTGAGGCTGAGATTGACTCTTGTTATGGCCATCTGTGGCCTGATTGTTGCTGCTGCTGCTCCCTCCATTCAGCTGTCAAATAAGTTTGAATTTAATCAGCATAAATACTTACAATGAGTGCAGTCGATTTTGCGGTTTCTACTCACCTCAGTGAGCGCATTGGCGCTCATTAAATTATCACAAGTTGCTGCCGTCGATGTCGTTGTAATTTGTTGCTGCTGATTGCCATCGATAATCGATTGTAAGGAACTCGAGGTGGACGATGTGCCGGACGTAGATGTCGATATAGATATAGATGTGGTTGTGGCTATAACTGTGGAGGGGGTGTTATGGCTATTCACAGCGGAAGACGTTGAAGCCGTGCTGTTGCTGCTGTTGTTGTTGTTGTTACTGCTGCTGCTACTGCTGCTGCTGAGACGATGCTCAGGTGACATGCACATGGCCTCAACAGGGGGCTGCACTAGGGTTGGGGCATGTGTTTGTATTTGGGTTTGAGTTTGGAGTTGTTGGCCACTGTTTGGGGTTGCTGATGTCTGTTGCAATTTATAATAATGTTGCTGTTGCTGCTGCTGCTGGCTGTTGTTGCTGTTGCTGGAAGTATTCAGTTGCTGCTGTTGATTGTACATGAAGTTATTGTTGCTGGGGTCGTTATTATTTACGACATTTAATTCGTTGTTCGTTTGAGCTGATAATTGCTTGACACTGGCACTGCCGTTGCCGCTGCCGTTTCCATTGCTGCTGACAGAGTTACTGATTTTGTTTGCAGTCATGTGGCTTTGGATTTCAATTAGTTCGGTATCCATGCCATTTAAGACAGAGCCGCCTCCTGCTCCTGCTGCTGTTGTTGCTGCTGCTGCCGCCGCTGCTGCTGCTACTACTGTTGTGGAAGGGTCTCTGGCTGTGGCCGTGATTGTTGTATTGGCAATTTGCAGGCGATGATGATGCTGATTCAAATGAGCCGAATTCTGGCTCTGACTGGCCACGAATCGTTGCAGACTCAATTGTTGCTGCTGCTGCTGCTGATGTTGCTGTTGCTGGTGATATTGCTGTTGCTGCTGCTGTTGTTGTTGTTGTTGTTGTTGCTGCTGCATCACCAGATTGCTTCTTGCGGCCAGCATCTGATTGGCACCACGATATTGCTGCTGATAGCTGCCATCGCCATGTCCCGTCTGCTGCTGTTGCTGCTGTTGTTGCTGTTGAGGCGGAATGATCTGAAACTTGATGGCCGACTCCTGGGGCAGCTGTTGCGTGGCATTGTGGTACTGCGCGTGCGGATTGTCCAGGTGCATGCCGTCGTTGCGCTGTCGCGGCCGCTCCGCCCAGCGGGAGTAGAGCTTGCTGGCCACCACCACGTTGGGCGTGCCATTGTTGAAGGCCCCCTCATTGAGTCGCTTCTCCGAGGCCGATGCGGCCGCCACGGACTTGATGATGCCGCCCGTGCGCCGCATGACGGGATGTGTGCAGGTCTTGCCATCGGCACAGCCCGAGTCTCCGCAGCCGCAGTCCAGCTGCTTGACCAGGGCCGCCTGGCGGGACAAGCGCTGCTTCTCCATCAGCTGGCACACAATCGACTCCACGGTCTCGGCCGTCTACGGGTAGGAATAATTGAACAATTGGGACTCTAGTCTAGTCCGTGCACTACTCACCGATATCTCAATGTCGTTGCCCGAGTCGGAGTCATCGTCAGAATTAACTGTGGAGACTGGAATGGAGGGAATGAAGGGAATGAAGGGAATGAAGGGAATGGATTATCACTCGAAGGCCAAAGGCATTCTCCCACTTGCTGCTACTCACGCATCGGCTTCAGTTGGCTGACCAGCTCCTCTTTGGTCCACTCCTTCTTGTCGCCCCACAGGGTGATGCTGGGGGCAATCACTGCCATCTTGTTATCATCCGGATACGGCACATTCAGATAGTGCACCAAAACAATGTCCGGATTCTGTTTTGTGTAGCAAGAAAAGCGAAGGAAGTTTTATTTTATGAAATTGGAATGGGGATGGGCATGGGGACACCCTCCCCTCTTACCTGCAACAGCCAGTAACATCTGCGATGAAATGTGGGCAATATGGCCGAGTGTACATAACAGCCGTAGATGCACTGTGGAGGAGCAGCAGAGAATCGGGATTTTGTGATTGTAAGCAGCAAGCAGATCGAAGGAAAATTCAATTTATCAAAACAAGAGCATAAAACAAAATCCAAGACCTGCCGAATTTGGGCTATCTGTATCTGTGTGTGCCCCCTGCTGGGAGCGAATTCATTTAATTGAAAAACATAAAAACGGAGCTCAAATTAAATTACCAACCGCCCACGCTAGCGGGGGGGCGCCACAGCCTCTTCGTCTAAGTCTCGGATACCGATACGGATACGTAATACGTATACGTATACGAATACGGATTCGGTAAGTGCCAAAAATCAGAGGCCAAAAGGCAAAAGGGTTTCCCCTGACTTCGTTGCGCATTTTTCTTGTTCTCTGGGGGAGTCCCTCTGCCTCTTAATTTTTCTATTTATTCCTTTTTCTATATTGTTTTTTGTTTTTTTTTTTTATAAGTTTTCCCGCTGATAAATTTGTTGGCTCTCGTTGTCCGCGATATGCCGCTGACTTCTTCTGTTTTCTGTGCTGGCGGCAAAATTTCTTGTGTCCCTAACCATCGCCCGGGCTTGGGGTTATCATGTAAGGAGACGGCACCCCGCAAGCACTGCCAACTGCATAAATCTCAGCCAGCCAGCCAGCGTTTACTAGCAAATGTTTTAAGAATAAAAATTAAAACAAACCAGCGAAGAAATACGGAGAAAAAACTCAAGAAAAGTGGTGGAAAAAATTGGCGTGAAATTGCCAAATGTTTTTATGTTTCCATAATGGGGAATGAGTCGAATGAGATAGCGATAGAAAGACGGATGGACGTACGGACGGACGAACATCCTTCAGACATTATAAATAAGCTTAACCCTTGGCCAGGGCTGATTTCATTAGCAGGCAGCGGGCGACGCGTCATTGCCTATATCCTTGGGGCAAACACTTGCAACGGGAGCGACGGACACAGTCAGTTTTCTGTCTACTTCCGGCGGAAAATCATAACTCATTCGGGCTGCCCTCCCCCTCTCCCTGCCCACACATCATACGGTCTCACACAGAAGGAAGCCCACCCGTGGATGGGTTTTTTGTTGTTTTTTTTTCTGTTTTTACTGTTGCCCTTTGACAAACGATGCCAATGGCTTGCGACTAATTGCCTAATTGTGCGCCCAGAAGTGGCAGGCACTGCCACTGGCACTTGACTTGGACTCACCTCAGTGCCTTGTACTTTCAGTTTCATGTGATCCTCGCGCGTCGTTTTGCCATCCTTGCGCTTCTTCCAGCAATAGCCATCGCGACGGTAGCGCACCTTCTTCCGCGAGTACAGCAGCAGGGAACCGCTCTTGGGTCTGCCCAGAGAGAGGATTATTGGTATGGTGATGGTGATCATGAGGAGGAGATCTTCAAGAGGCCAGTGACTCACCTGGTTCGAACCTCCTTGGACTGCCACTCGCAGTGCTTGTCAAAGCTGATAAGAATCGCAGCAATTTCCTGAAATAAGTACACTTTATTTATTTGCTAATCTGGAATATATATTATTAATGTTAATCTAGAGATATGAGTGGAACGAACGACATTCACGTGAGCCTTATCATCACTGTGACACAATGGCTAAAAGTTATCCACTCTGGCATCTGTTAACCGCTTGAACTGGCCCACAACTAACGTGCTAACAATTTCCTGACTTAATGGCAAAAATGCTATGCTGCCCAGTCACGGCACTCGCGGCATTTCCTACGCCAAAACTTCAGAAAAAGAGCAGAAGGGATTTCTGCGCCATAAAACAAAGGAAAACATTTTAGAAATTTCATTTGACCGCAAAGCGGACACTGCCACAAAGCAGGAGGAAGAGGAGCAGCAGCAGCAGCAGCAGGACCAGGAGGAAGGGTGCACAGTGTTAACCACAATTTACAGGTGTCGCCCCGGCAGTTGACACTTAACCAAGCTGGCCAGGAACCACCAAGTGGCACAGACGCATCCCGAGTGCAATTTGTGTGCATATTTGAAATGCTCGCTCGCTCCCTCTCTCTCTCTGCCTTGATAAGCAGTCGAAAGGACACGCTGCAATGAGGGGCAGTGGAGAATGGTTGGATGGAGGAACCAGAACCATTCAAATGCAAATCACACAACAGCCAGCGAAAGTTCACAGAGAATTTTTGTTTGCTTTTTTTTTGGCCATTTGGACTTGAATTTTCATTGCATGTTTTGCCGATAAAGTTATCAATTTGTTTGCTTCCCTGACGTTGCATGAATAATGTAAAGTGGCCATCCATCCATCCATCTATTCATTCATTCATTCATCCTTCGAACAGTCCTTGCTATCCTGTGGCTCCTCTGGAGCATCCTCAGCTGTGCAGCAAAACATTTTCCATATGCCAGTTGGCGGAAGAAATCGCAACATTTGCGAGTGTCATAAAAATTGTATGCACACACACACACACACACATATGGAAAAGGGGGAAAACCCCCCAAGGCTATGGCGGAGTTGGGGCAAATCACAGGCGCGTGTTTGTCAAGTGGCAAACGTTTGCATTTTGTACAAAATTGCCTCTGACTTGGCCCTTTTTGGTTACATATATATGTATGTATGTACGTATATAAAAAGATAGAAAGATACTCGTAGATATAGATGGATGTGTGTTTGGTTTGGTTATTTATGCATGGCTCCAGCGACCTACTCCAAACTGCTTCCCAGTCCTCCGGCTCAATCCCCCGTCTCAATCTCTGGCATCGCTTTATATGATGAATTCCAGGCACATACGCGGAACAGGCTTCGGAACATTGAGGAGGCGAAGCATTAAAAATTTATGCCCACCTCAGCAGCGTATTTCCCCTTCACCACCCCACCACAATCGTAGACATGTATGGGCGTGGCCATGGGCTCTACTCAGGCGACCTTTCAACACTTTCACCCGAGTGGAGAACAAAAACGATGCATCCATCGAATGGCACAGGCAAACAATTAGAAAGCGAATAAAAACGGTTCAATATTTAAAACAGACTCCAAATAATGAATAGAAAATCTGGGAAACTTAATTACTGTTTGCTGTCCTATATTAAGTATACGAACCCGTCCAGAAGGTGGAAAAACAATTGGAATAGCTCTTCTAGGATATTCCTCTCCAAAAACCAGATTTTTAGACTTTTAATAATAACTTAATAGAGACGCAAGGAAAGTTCTACCGAAAGCCTGCCAAAATAGCAATGCGAAACCCCATGGAGCCCCATTAAAAGGACTTCTGAACAGCCATCCAAAAGGTATGCCTTAGAGCAGGCTAATTTAAATCTTGCCCCATGGCCACTTAATCACTTCCAGTCAGTGCTCGTGCTCGTGCTCGTGCCCGTGCCCTGCCCCCTCGGCTGACCGATGCAGAAGTGGTAGTATGGCATGGAACACATCTGGGGGTCATACAGAAAATATACAAATAAAATTGCGACTCATTATCAATTTAACTTTTTGATTTTTAAGCTGCGCCTTTTCAAACCACACCGAGGGACAGAGAGTACGGCTCATTGGTGGTGTGGCTGTTGCTAGCCGTATTATTTTCCAGTTGCTTTATGAGCCGGGTCGAGTGGCTCTGTGTTCCCCCCACTCTGGCTGCTACTTAAATGCCAAATTAAAACTGTGTGGTTAAAGCGACAGTCCGAGGATGGTTTGGGGCCCTGGCTGCCCTTCAACCCTGCTGCCTTCTGCTCTGGATGCTCTGCCTGCTCGTTTGCCTGTAAGCAGGACTAAAATAAGCGTGCGTAATTTTATTTATGCCCACGGTACACACGGCCACATTTTGTAATTTTTGCATGCTGATGCAGCGGGGTGGTGGCTCCATGAGGTGGTCCACTGCTGCTGCTGCTCCCTGGTGTTGCTATTGGCGTTGGCCATGTCCATGTCCAGCTGTTTGGCCAGCGATTGTTACCGTTTTTTGGCTTGTAAACTTTATTTTAATCAACTTTGCAAATGCTCTTCATCTGGGTAAGAACTTTCCATAGTTCATTAGGGAAGGAACGTTGGGAATTTTTATCGGGTTGCTTTTGTCATTGGGAGAGAGGCTGAGGCTGTGTGGGTGGATGTACGAGGAGCAGCAGCAAGATATCTGCGAAGAGCGAATCCGAATGAGGATTATTCTCAGGCAGCTGTCATGTTTTTCTAGCCTCTATGTTTTTCAGTCATCAGACTCGTTCTGCTTCAGGGTATTACACGCCTCGGTTCGCTACGGTTCGCTCCTTTTATCCCGCCTGGGCAGCTTCCTTTAATTTAGTCAACTTTGTCGCGCGAGTGTGTAAAATGCCGCTTACCGTAGTACACCACCCCCCAGCCCCCAACTCCTCCTGCCTACTGGCTACTGCCTCGTGCCACCACTCGCAGCCTGAACTTTACAACTGTCCAAATGAATATTTGCGGTTGCGCTTAATTCACAAGTAAAACAACAAGCAAAGCTCATCCCAAGGCATTTGCCCTTTTCCATTTACAGCGAAAACTTTTATTGCAAACCGAACGGAACGCGGAAAGCAGAACAACAACAACAACAAAAAAGACAAACGCGAAAGCGAACTTTTGGCGACGCGTGTACTCGTACGTGCAGTGGTCAGAGAAGGTCCTAAAAGGCGGAGGTCCTTCCCCCACACGGACCTATCCGCCACGTTCAACTCGTGTTTGTATTATAGTTTGTGGCGCAATAAAAACTTCGCGAACGGCTCCCTAATAGACTGGCAAACCATCTCATTAATCTGCATATAGAAATACAGTGAAAACTGTCTGAAAGGAACCGCCATGGGGCCAGTAATGATACAAGATGTTACACCCCTCCCCACGCCAGAGAGCTTTCACTGTGGGTCTAAAAGTAAAAGGGGGAAACCGTCTTCGAAGGCTGTCAAAGTGTCCAGGCCCACGACTGGCAGGCTCATCCGCCTCTGTCAACTGTCCAACTCTACTCGGTTCGGATCGGATCGTCTTTGGGTGCCGCCCCAGCCAAGTCATGGACTTCCTTTTGGCTTTCACTTGGCTACCCCCATTTCGACAATTTTATGTGCAATCAAATGCAAATAGAAACGGAAAAGGAGACAGTGCACAGAGAGAGGAGAAACACAAACAGACAACACAAATACAAGTGCGAGTACGACTACGAGTGTACCAACTTATTTAGAACTAAAACTGACCTCATTTGTATTCCAACGATGACGCTGTGATGGAAAACTGTCAGCTCTTGGCAGGCTCTCCAAATTGTCGGGTAGTTTGATAGGTTCGCCATCTGTAAAACATTTCGGGGGGAAAGAAAAGAAAAAACAGAAAAAATAAGTACAAAATGTGGAAAATGCACTGAAAGCGTAAGTATAGGAGATACGGGTACTTGGAGTCGGAGTCGGACTCCCCTTGACTTGGCTTTTATAAATCAATTTTGCATATCTTGCCAGTCTGTGGCCCCCCCTCCGTTCAGTTGGGGCGCCCAACAGGTGCAACTGTCGGACATTCATAAATGCGACAAAAATGTAAATCAGTTTAGAGAGCAGCGATGATTTATAGTGGAGACAGAGACAACACACACACACACACACAAAAATGGTAAAGAAATCTTTTAATGTCAACGTTAATAAACGAGTTTCTCCATTTTGTCCATTTATCAAAATTCGCAAAGAAACTTCACTCTCCGCAAAAACCTCTCTGTACCTCCCCTGTACCCACTCGCTGTGCTCTCTATGAGAATGCGTGGAAAACTTTGCCGATTTTGAGTCGTCATTGAATAATTACCCACACTTAATGGAGCTTGCAACCGTAAATCGAATCGAACCAACTTTTGGTTTATTAAAATGCCACGCCACGCAACTTGGTTGGGCAAAAAGGAGCATGGGCAGCGGCATGGGGCAAGGGGTACATAAACTTTGCGGCCAAACTGTAATTTAGCAAAAATGTGTAATAAAAGCGGACACATCTACGCGACATCTCTCTCTCTCTCCACAGCGCTCACTCGTCGTATATCAAAGAGCCAATAGGTTTTGCACTCGAAGAGCCATAAAAAAGTATTTGTACACAATTTATATAAAGTGCTCGAAGCGACTCTTGGCCCGGACCAGAGAGCGGGGCGGTTCAGAGCCGCGTAACCAAAATGTGTTGCCAAATTGCAAAACGCCAGACGCTGGCGGTGGACAGGCAAGAAAAGGAAAGGGGACGACAGTAGCTTCCCACTTGCAGAAGGGCACAGACAGTGCGTGGGGTTGGGCGTAGCGCCTCCCCTTTCGAGAGGTGAGCGCAAACACAAACAGACAACACACGCAGACACACATACGAACTAGAGATGGGCGGCACAGGTCAGGGTGAAATGTAGAAAATAAAATCAAAAAGATTTTTATGTAATGAACGGATTCTAATCTATGACCTGGAACGATTCCTCTCTCAGTTTCTTCTTCCAGCGATTCCAGCGAAATTCCCTTTGTCTGGGATCCACTTGACTCACGTTTCACGCACATAAATGGTTTAAAATCACGCACACATCTCTAGCCCAGGAAGGATTTGAGGCGGCACTCTGCCCTTGCGGCCCTTGCCTTGCTGCCTCCTTCTCCTTCTGTACACCCCTTGGAGACAATGATGACGTTGATGTAGTTACTTTTTCAGGGCATTTTGTTGCAGTTATTGTAGTGGCCGTGGTAGTTCTTTATGCGATTTTGATATGGCTCACGTTTTGGCAGAGGACCCGAAGGATACAGCGCTTGGGTGGGCTGTGCTAAGGGGGCTGGGGGGAGTGCTGGGAATCGGCGACAAATTGTTTGTTTTGATCGCACACTCAAGTTTTATGGCCACACTAATTTGTCATCGCTGCCTTCTTGGGTCTCCCCCCAGTCAACGCCAGCCCACTTTCGCGTGTACTCCTTTGAAAAATGCTCAAGCGATAATTGTCAAAAATGTCGAAACAATCACAGTCATCCCATCCATCCCCTCACAGTCTCTCCCTCCGACTGTCTACCCTTTGCACCTATTTATAATGCAGTTGCTGCCATTGTTTCCAAAAAGCGAGAGATCGCGGGAGAGAGTCGGGGCGAGAGGTAAGGAATAACTCTGTTTGATTAATACAAATAAAAAGTTTTTTTAACTGCTCTTTGCATATTTCATGGAAAAAAGCTTCAAAAACTGACGGTTGCCCCGCCATCATAATAGACTGCCCTGCGGGAGGGGTGCGGCCAGAGCAGTGCCAAAAAGAAGAGAAGACAAACCGTAACATCGAAACCACAGCCAGCGTTCAGTGTTCAGTGTTCAGGTGAGAGAGAGGCAGACGGCGACAGAGCCTGGAGAGAGAGTGTCGGTCCCATGTCGACTATGTCGATGGCGACGTCAACGTGGCAGGGACTCTGTCTCTTTTGATTTCCCTTTGTAATACCCTAACAAGGTATAGTATTCATTGCATGAGATGTTTGCCGAGGCAAAGAGAAAATAAATAAACATACCGAATGAATCGGCAGATCCATATCGTCAGTCTTTTTGCTATACTTAACCTTCAGCTTTTATAGGAACAGATAGGTCGAAAGAGTATGAAAGGCTGCTACCACCATTTGGTTTTTGTATTATTTTAAGTACTGAAAAAAACTTTAACAGTGAAGGAGTAAGAGAGACCCCAGCTCCAGTCCCCAGCCCCAGTCCCAGATCCCATCTCATAATTTTATACAACGCTTAATTGTGACAAATGCGCTTTGGTACATCAGATTTTCTCATAATTTGGCGGAGAATTTAAGAGGGCGGTGGCTGGGAGGAAGAATAAGCAGCAGGCGGACTCTGGGGAGAGCTGGACGATGGCCTCGCCCATGTCCTCGTCCTCGTACCCAACCTGCTCCTGGACAGTTTCAAATTGACACGGCAAATAGCACAAAAGAGTTGACATAAATAATAAATTTTCGTTTTATGATTTCGTGTATAGGCCTAGCCAGGTGGACGGGGAAGGTGGAGCGAGTGAGTCCTGCCAATTTTTGCTGCCTGCCAAATTGTGGCTAATAAATATCTCACCAAAAAATGGCCACAGGAACGGGGCCACCCATCGAGGTACATTGCTAAAGAGGTGGGGTAGGGAAGGGGGCTCTTTGGCTCCTATAAAACATACAAAAGAAAAATTGTTTTTGCACTTTGGTCGCCGTCGCCGAAAAGTCAGCGAGTGTGAAATTACTTTTGTTTAGAGTCCGTACTGACTCTCTCTACATGTATCTCTAGCTCTTGCCACAATTAAAAGCCATTAAAAGTGTCTGCGAAACGGCCCAAAAACAGCAACCAGAGACAGAGACAAAACTACAATATATAGAAGAGTTCTCTACGCAATTCTTTATCTCGCACGAGTACAAACGAATGTGGGGGAATGGATGGCCCAAAAGAAACTCGAATATACATAAATATATTTCCAGTGGGTTTTGTGAAGATAATGTATGATGACGTCGCCGACACATGGAACAAGAATGCAAAAGCAAAGCACAGATAAAAGGAGAGGGTGGGAGCGTGTAAGAAAGAAGGCCACAAAAGACGTCATAGTTAAAACAAATATAAAAAGGAAATTCTGAGAAGGAAAAGTTTTTTTAGATAATAAATACAAATATGTGTTTATGTGTAAGAGAATACAGCGCAGCGCAGAAAGGAGCGGGGAGTAAAAGAGCGGAAGCAGGGTGGACATGACACATTGAAATATTAAGAGAGAGAGGTTTGAAGACGGCATAAGTTAATTTCGATATCTAAAGAGGGATAAATACCATCTCCCACATTCAAAATTGTCTAAAAAAATGTATTTTTAAGTTCTTTGAATCTTAAGACATCTTAAGGGGCTGTAAGAAGGAGAAGTATCTGCTTGGCACATCAACTGAAAGTAGTTTATTGAGACGCGACGGACCCTCTACGAATACACGCCCCTGAAGACTAGATAAAAGCTTCCCTCTGTTCTCTCTCTCTACTTTCTGCTTTACTCTCCATAAATGACAGATGTGCGGATGATTTATAACGTAAGCAAACACACGCGCCCGTCTGTTCTCTTCCTCTCTCTCTCACTCTCACACTCACACAAACAGCATAGAGAAAACGTTGCGGTTGATAAAAATCACATTTTGGCAAAGGCAAAAGTCACTCATTTCTCCCTCCCTCTCTCTCTCTCTCTGACTCTCTGTGTGTGTTTACCCATTCTGCCGCTTCTATTGCACTCCCCACTCCCCACCAGACCACACCAGGCCATCGTCAATGGCATTACAAGGAAACATTTCTCATCTGGTTTTGCATATTCCGCCAATGCCGCTCGGCAAAGAACAGCAATTAAAAGACACATAACAGCAAATATGCATGTCGGGGCGTAACGGGGCAGGAAAAGGTAATAATTAGCCCCAAAACAGAAGGGAGAATGCAATTTTGAGCTTAAATGAAGAATATTTGCACACAAGTCACAAGGAAACAAACAAATGTGAAAGCTCAAACAGAGAGGAGAAGGCAGAAAGAGAGAGAGAGAGGGAGGTGCTAGAAGCAGAAACAGAAACACACAGAACTGAGCACAAACAGCGATTAACATAAAAATGCAACAAAACCAAGCCACAGAGAGAGAGAGGGAGCAGAGACAGAGACAGGTAGGGACAGGGCTCTGCCAGTCATGAAAGTCCTATTAATGAATGAAATCTAAACAGAAACAGAAAATACGAAAGAGAAAAAACAAAACCAAAGCCAAAGAAAAGTTGGCAAAAATGTTATAAATTATTTACAAGTTATGACTCGGGCGAGTGTCAGCACCACAAAGGGGAGGCGGAACGGTGCTGAACAGTGGGGCGACTTAAGGTGGCTCACATTGTCATCGTCTTTTGTGTCTACGGGCAATGCAATTACGTGCGGATTTCATTACCTTTCGTTTGCATTTCCTCAAAGCTATGGATACTCTATGAAAGTAAAAGTCGCGATAAATAAATAGTATCCTTGAGCCAAGTCCGCCTCTCCGTTTGTGGTATGAAAGTCCCAAAAGTAATACAACAGTAAGCAAGTTCCCCTGAATGTACGCAACCTGCCACAGAAATGATCGAATGAATGCGTCCATTGGTTGTAAATTAATAAATGTAAATATAAAAGAAAATACTATAGAAAAAAGATTATGAATTGAAGCAATTTGTATGCAATTCCCATTGAACGAATTGCTACCGATTTACCTAGTAGAATGTGTGCAAATTCGTATTCAGATTTAACTTGTTAGAGAATGTCTGGCTTCGACTATAGTTCGTTTGTAAATCGCCTTTTTTTGGGCACTACAGTGCCTTGGCA